AAAGGGTTAAAAGCAAATCTTTGCATGTGCTACATTTCAGCTATTTTACATTGTCGTGCCTAGGAGCGCAGAGGTGCAACTGTGAAATAAAAAGACTGAACAGATTCCACAGTATTAAAACGTAACACATATTGTATTTGTTGGGTTCAGCCAACAATGATACAGTGAATGGAAATGTTACATATGTATTATAAAGCAGATTGAGGAGACCTCCTGTGGTTTTCTGACCTTGAAGTTCTACCCAGTGACCTCTTATGCCTCCCTTTCGTTAGGTGTATTAGTGCCCAGATTAATGAGAATCTCATCAAACTTGGACAGCAGCCACAATCCCTGAGCCTGATCTATATAATCCTGAGACAAAATGATCCGGAGACTCACGTGATTTCCAGCTTCTATCCTGTTACAAGTCAGATACCTGCTACTATTCCTGTGTGAACCAGTATTTGATAGCATCAGTAGGAATATGAGGATTAAACAAAAGAATAGGTGAAAAAGGAAGCATATTTCTGCAGTTCAATCCCCCACTCAACATCCTGCATCATCAAAACCCTAAACCATCATCCAGATATAAAATACTCAAACTGGATAAAATGAACAAATTTAGCAAAATATATTAATATTGAAAACTTTAATGTCCAGAGCATCAGGAGTCTGCTGGCCAGGGCTAAGTAGTCAGGCGCGCCTGGAGTAGGGCTAGGAGCGTATTGGATAGGATCATGGCCTGTAAATAATAGTAACACAGAGCCCAGGATCAAGAGTCAGAGAGGACAGTCAACCAAGGCCAATGTCTACAACCAGAATATTGAGCAGAGACAAGGCAGACAAAGTTACGTAAGGGGCAAACCTGGCATTCAGCTGCAGATCGAGGAGATGGAGTTGCAGTCTGGCGGAGCTTTTGTGCCTTCCTTTCAGATGAACTGTAAACATTCACTGACACCTGATTAACCCCAGGTCTTACAGTCTGTCGTGGGATGGGTATCAAGAGTCTTGGACATGCTAGAGAAGGGGCACAAACAGGTTTACAGAACACCAGTTACAAGTGAAAACCTGCTCACAATAGGGCCAAAGAGAGGAAGGAGCCAAGTTGCAACAAACTGGAGAATCAAAGGGTTAATCAGGAAACTACAGTAGAAAACACACCAACATGATAGTGCAATAAATAAAGACTGGGAACGTTGAATAAGCCCAAAGCATACACATCCTCAAAGAGATGAGAGAGGACAAACAACATGGAAGCTGAGAGAATCATAACTAAACATAAGGTTCCCCAAGGTTGGCTGAAAAACAGGAAATGATAGGGCACAGCCAGGAACACAGAGAACCAGGGGGAGCAAATGGACCTTCAATAATTCATTCAAGTGTAGGGCAATTCAAAGCTTTTTCTCCTAGTATTACATACAGTGGGGAGGGTTTGAACCCCAGTTTGGATCTTACTCCAATCCAGGGCTTTATTAGAGAGATTTACCCTCACTTCCTGGATGTGTGGTTAGGGGTGTCTCTTGGTCATCTTGCTTGACGGTTCATCAAGGTTGTTTATTTGAATGGATATGTCTGATACAGCCAATGCGTTTAAGGGGAATTGGACTCCCCCTTCTTCAGGGCTTGAGCAACAATAATAAGTAGTGAATTCAGGAAAAGCTGTAATTTGTAGCTTGAATTAGGGCTGTATGAGTGCTGAGTGTCAGCGTAATCCATTTGCTTTGAGGACTGGATCTTGACCTCACTTCCTGTCATGCTGAAAACCTCTACCAGACAGTATGTAAGGGGAACTCTCCAACACTGAAAGAAATTAAAAGTAAAATAAATACAAATTAAAACAATTTTTAATAGATTAGGGGAAGGTTGGACCCCTGACAGATGTTTATAGGTCTGTGTCCCTGTTGCAACAATTTTTTGGCTTGACATACACTTTAATTAGTTACATAGTTAGTCAGGTTGAAAAAAGATACAAGTCCATCGAGACAATTAAATAATGTCATTATTGGGATCCTGTCCATCATCACAGCACGTATGGATAAACATGATTTATAAACAGTCAAATAATGTTCTGGCCCAATAAATGACTTCAGAATGTAATATAATGAGGGAGATTTTTTTCAGCAGCTTACAATTAAAATCCGAGGAATAGCTAGTGAGATTCATCTTCAGCATTCAGTCTAGAGGTAACACAGGAAACGGCATTACTTAGGAAAAAAAATAAATGTTGCATCTAGCAGTTTTTCAGGAGTTCCACCATGAATATTTATAACAGAGGACTATAACTCTGTGAATGATGGAAATGCAATGCTAATCAGGTTTCCCTATTACGTGCATTCAGTGCCTTGCGTAATTTCCTGTGCAGTAATAGCATGTCAGTCTGTTACAAATATGTATGCCAGCTCACCCTTCAGTAATGACTCACCAATACCAGTAATGACAAATCCTTTAGTCTTCTAATTCAAAAACGACATATTTTCAGTGTCAGTTTATTTTGTTTAATTTTGTACCTATTGCTTATGTTTATTATTGACATGGCAAAGCTTAGTTTATAATTTCCTGCTGATTATAGAATCACTGTATGTTGAGCCTGTATGTGATGTCATATTTGATGCCTGGAGTTACAACAAATGTCTCCTCATGGCATGCTCAGAGCTTCCACAGAGTCTACCAGATGATAACACTGTGACACCACTGACAACGAGGCAAAAACAAACGTTCTTAGTATATTTTCTTTTCAGCTTCAATGTATGTAATGTAAAAACACAATATGGCCATGAGAAGGAGTTAAGACGCATAGGAAATAAATACTTACTGGCCATAATGTGGTTTTACATTACATTGGTCATTGTTGTGGTATACTGTATGTACCCATACATAAGGCAATCCACTCATACTATTCATTAAGTTGAAACAGAAATGTGCACAGGTCTGGATTTAGTATGAATAGAAGTATGAAACTATATTCTAAGCCAGCCTTTTTCAACCAGGGTGCTATGGCACCCTAGGATTCTTTCTGGCTTTGTCAGGGGTGCCTTCAGTTTTATGCATTTCCACGGTACAGACGGGCCAGGCATCAGCACCATGAAAACACATGATGCTAATCCAGGAAGGGCTGTATCCAGGACCTCCCCAGCATTCAGAAGAGGACAGAAATCCACTTTTGACCAGACCTGTGCCATGAGGCTGCAATCGCACTGTGGTGAGGATTATTAGGTAGGACTGTGATGTGTAGGAAGGATTGATAACTCTGATGTGAAGGGGAGACTCTGATGTAAAGAGTTCATGTTGTTGTTTTTTTTGTTTTGTTCTTTGCATGGGGTGCCCCTTAAAATACATACTAGACCCCTACCTAGGATAAGGGTCTGGTATAGATTTTGGGAGGAACCGCATGCCATTTTTTAAGTTTTAGACAGGGGTGCCTAGAGAGTTTGCATACTATTGAAGGTTGCTGCTTCTGAAAAAGCTATAAGCAATTTCAGTTCAGCTGGAAATACTTTTGCTATATACTGTACCTGTGTGTATCAGGTTGTATTGTGTGTTGTAATTGTACAATCCTATATGACATTGCATTCTATGTATTTGTACGGGCTCAGAGTAACCTCCTTTAACTCGTGTTTTATTGAAAGAAAATGAACCTTGGGTTTAAGCAATGCAATCAGCAAAGTGCAGTAACCCAAAGCAACCAATTGGAAGTTCACTTTAGTTAAGAAGGACTAGTAAAAAGATGATTCTGTAATTGTACAGGGGCTGCACTTTGCTCTAAGCACTTTGTGTTATACTGGATATGTCCTTAAAATGGTAATAATCCTAATGTGAAAAAATAAATAACAGAAAAATCATGTGCGTGGCATTATGAAATTTGAAGGCTTTTTATATGACCGTCATTGTATTTCTACCTGCTGCCATTAAATAACATGTATCTTTTTTTGGCTGTATGTTACTTGTTAAATATAAAGAAAAACAAGTATATGAGGAATACTGCTGCTGTAACGTTTTGGGGGCCAGTGTAGTTTTTTTTTCTTAGCTTTGCTTATAAATTAACATTTGATTGTAACATTATGCTCTAAAAATTGTAACATAGTTCTTGTTCAGATTGTGTCCGGTGTTTGGATGGTAAATATTGGCATGATTGCATCGATGCTTTGTGTGTTTGGTGTGCACGCCCAGTGTTATAATATTTTCCCCAATACTAGAGAATTTTGCGAGGGGTCGTTTTGATCTAAATCTTTTGGGTTTAAACACATTTTTGGTTCACTTCTAGTGTGGATTTAGAACCATTTACAACTGCCATCCCCCTCTGATCACAGTGCTAGACAGTATTTTCATAAACTGTTTGAACTGGCTGGTGTGTCTTACATACATACCGCATGGATAGCATTCTATCCTAAATTTAGATTTTTTCCCCCCACATTTACTGCTCCCACCTATGTTTTTGTTATCAGCCATGATTGCTTCAATTGAATCTGTGAACTGTATGTGCGTATATATGTGTATATGTACAACAAGGCAACATGGTTTGGAAAAAATGTGTCAAGCAAAATTGCTGTTTGCCCAATGCTGCATCAATATCATAACATTGATGAAGCTGCAAAACCACAGCTGCTTCTTATGTCTGCTTACAAAGGGTCCCAACCTTCCCCAGCTGCCCCCTTCCATAAAATGCAGATTTAATGACAAACAGTGAGCACCAATGTATCTGTATGGACACTCAGTAATACCAGATGTCACCAGCAGGTGGTGTTGTGAGTAACAGCTAAATTCTCAGGTCTGGCCCTGGCAACATCGAACTTGTTTCACTTTGTATAACTACCTGTTAGCCACAAATAGTAATGTAACTTTTCTCTGGCTTCCCCAGCATACCTCATATCCACAGACAGTTGCCATTGTATGATACACATATGGACAGAATGAATGGACACATTTTTGCATGTGAACTATAGATGTGTTTAGAGCATTGTTATTTGAGTATATATTTGTGTGTACAGTAGGAGTGAACAGTAAGTTCATTTTCTCCTTTACAGCAAAGTTTAAAGACAAGGCTGAAATCATGGACAACATGGCCAAGGCCAAGGTAGAATCAAAAGGACTCAGACACAAAGGTGAGAAAGGGGGGCTTTCATGTTGTTCTTTTTCTTGACATTCCACATACAGAACATAGCGGGGTTCATAGTGAAATGATTTGCACAGTAGTTCAGTAGGGGCATGGCATAGATTAGAAAATACTAATAGATACCCCCAAAACTTTAAAGCAGCAGTATTAGAGGATTCCACCAGCCTGTTCTCCTGGTTCAGCGATTCCCATAGAAACTTCTGAGGAGAGATAATCATCTATGAGCCGTGACCCTGGAAAAATGATGGTCTGATCTTTATAGTAAAAGTATTAGAAGAAGTTGGAGCAAGTACTGGAAGATTAGAATGGTTTACAGCAGTGGTGCCAACATGGTGGTCCACTATGTTTCTTGAATACTGGCAAAGCAACCATTTAGGTGATATCTCATACCCCTGCAAATTTTAATATTCCAAATTATGAACACATTCTGGGCAGCCAAGTTACTTGTAGAGAAGGTTAAAGGTTAAGCTCTACAGCGTCATAACTAGCAGTGGCTGTTACCATGGTAGGACTGGAATAAGTCAGCTGTTATGACCAATTAAGCCACGTATTTCGGAAACATTGAGAACACTAGAGTCAGGGGTTGCAGAAAACAGTATGGGCCATATCACTGGTGATCACTAGTTTTGTCAATGCTGATGAAGTGCTAGTGAATTTTCTAGTACCAGTAGTGTTAGCAGGGTAGCCTCTTGAAGGAGTAGGTGTTCCTTAAAATCTGACAGACATCTTACTGCTTATCAGTGTAGTCCAGAGTCACCTGTCAATTAACTAGAATCTATAAAGTTTCGTGCTGCATACTGTAAGTATGTATTTTTTGGTAATATTTATACATTTTTAAATCCTTATATGTACAATACCAGTTCTGTATATGGTATGTTCTAGGTGTTTTTCCAGGACAGATACATTTAGCATTAGCTGTTTTATACTGATCTTGTGTTGGGATCAATGGTCTTTTTTATCAGCATCTGAATGGTGAGGTTTTACTATTACTGGTAATTTATCTACAAACATTTTTTGAAAAATATGGTAGGGGGTCCCCATATAGGGAAAACCAAAGTAGTCAAAATTCCCAACAAACAAAAATATTCATAAATCTATCCAAATGTTTAAAGACATTCCCACGGGGTATTGAACCCAAACAACCTGAATTAGAAAAAAGAGAAGAATCCCAATCAATCCCATCAATGCGTGTCCTGCATGATATAGATTTTATGCATGATTTTATGCATGATTTAGATATTTGTACGGTATAACAGCTGATAAAGAATGAGTCATATGTAAGATTGAACATGCATGATTATAGGCAGGCCGGTTATAACATGGTTAGTGAAGGATTTTGTATTTCAATGACGTCTGCTGGTTTACTTTTTTGGATTATAGTTTTTTTGTTTTTAAATGAGACGTCACAAAAATCCGAAATCCTTCATTACCATGTTATAACCGACCCGCCAATAATCATGCATGTTCAATCTTACATATGACTCATTCTTTATCAGTTTGTATACCGTATGAATGAGGTGTGTGGCTTTTCCATGAATTAATCAGATCTTTCATGAATTTTTTTGATTCAATAACATTTAAATCATGCAGGACACACATTGATGGTTTTATTATATTGGTTTTACTATAATTGATTAATGAAATATTATATTTTTTATAGATCATTGTGTGATGTATTAATTCCCAAGGAGTATATCCCTATCGGGGTCTCTTCTCTTTTTTTCTTATCTACAAACATACATTGAGTTTTTGTGGGTTCTTGTAATAAAATCTAGTCTAGGGACCATCAACTATCGATCTGTTGCCCATACATAGTGGAGTTTGCCTTTTTTAAGCTGAATCAGAATTCTTGAGAATTCAGCCTGGTGGAATCTTTTCTTCAATGTTGTAATTGTTATAGCATGGATGAGAGCACTAGGGCCAGTCCACACTTATAGCAGTCACATTCCTAGATACACTTTCTTTGTTCATTAATACTTAGGTGTCCCCAGGTCTTATCCATTATATTGCTGTTTTTGTTTATTCATTGTAACCATCCCAAATAGATGACATATAGTACTAGACAGAGCGTTAAGTTGAAGAGGCATGAGAGGTCACCACCATGGAAAACAGGCCGAAGGCTTGGTTATTGAGAGCAATCTGAGAGACGGAAGACAGCATCAGAAACAAATGCAAGGAAGAATAAACATATAAATCAGGAGCCGGCTGAAGTAATAGAGATAAAACTTTAGCCCACCCACAGTGACAACAGCTCAGGCAATTGACTGCCTTATAAAGCATTCCTGACTACTCTGAGCATATGTGTATGATGTTCCATACCTTAAATGGTGAGTCTGTTCTTGAGAACTAAGTGCTTGGTGGGACAGGTGGCCAAGGCAGGTGGCCAAGGCAGGTGACCATCTTGCATTTATTAAATAAAACCCAAGCCCTACAATATCAATCAATAATTATTTTGGTGCAGAATTAAGCAGATAGTAACACCATTTTAAGGTCCTGCAAGATTTCTATATTAAGGTGGAAGAACACACACAAAAATGAGGTGATGTTGTGTATGTGCTTTCAGGGGGCCTTCACTGAAACATTGGGGGATACGGTTTGTAATGACTGTTCACTAAGAGTATGATTTGCCTTTACCCAAGTGCCAGCTTTGTCATTATCATATTCATTGCAGTGCCACCCCAACCAATGCACCCAAAGTACTTATTGTGTGCATGGAGCATATTTGTTATGTGAAGGCTAGATCTATTACTATCTTATATTGATGCTTAACACTCTTAGTAACTTGATAAATATCCTTCTTACATTGGCCATTAGCATCTATTAAAAAAAGAATGCAAAAATTATTGGTGAATCAGTGCTCTCCAGTCTCCACCGTGCTCAAAGATAAGATCTGGCCGCACTCACCGACTCCTATTGCTCACCATATTTCAGATGAACAATTAGCGCTTTGTTGATATATATAGAACCAAATCCTCTCCTTTGTTTTTAATCCGACAATAAATCGGGGTAGATTCCTCCCAACTCTGGCTTATCTTTCCAAAATCGTGTAACACTATTCCTCCATCTTCCACCTTCTCTTGTGCTCAGAGAGAGAGAGAAACAGGCTTCCCATAGTGTAGTATGTCAGAATAAATGTATTTAAAATGATTTAAAATGCACTTACAATAAAAATAAGGCAATTGCACGTGGATTGTGTCCACTGGAGCTCCTGTCTCTATGATTGCAATGCTCGCATAGATCCACCCACCTGATGCATTTCGTCACTATTGACTTCCTCTGAGGCGACGGTCTGCATACGATTTTGCATTTATTACCAAACTTACATGTATCAGCCACAGTGTTTTGTTATTTACTTCCAATTTTCCCTCATTTTTCAATGATTGATTTGCATTATAGGACAGGGACTTTCTCTAATAGTCTTAGACCTCACTCCCTAAATTTACATGAAGTTCTTGAGGTAGACTAAAAATACAAATCATTATTCTTCTGGGCTGACTAACTGACTGTGTTATGGGTATTAATAGTCTGTTCTTGAGAACTAAGTGCTTGGTGGGACTGATGGCCAAGACAGGTGACCATCTTGCGTTTTATTAAAAAACAATCCGGGCCCTACAGTATCCATCAGTAATCATTTAGGTGCCGAATTAAATGGATAGTAACACCATTTTAGGACCATGCAAGACCGCTTTGTTATGGCAGAAGAACACACACATAAAAGAGGAGATGTTATGTATGTGCTTTCAGGGGGCCTTCACTGAAACATTGGGAGTACGATTTGTAATGACTGTTCAATAAGAGGAGAAGGTGTAGACATGTAGACTTAAATTATATATAGTTCAGTCGTTATAGGAGCAAAGAACCTCACGGTGTTACAGAAGTGGCTGTTTTGCACATGTTTCTGCAGATGGAAAGGATGATGGTGAGGTCCAAACCACAGTGAATGTACAGGTGACTCCCCCCACTGGGTCTCAGCCATCCAAGGATGGAGAAGATGAAGGAGACAAAGACGACACCCAGGTAAAGAGAGTCTTATGTTCTACACACAGACTTCATATTAAAAACATTTTCTTGAATTCATTTTCATGCTTATTTAGTTCAGCACATTAAAGGCTTATGAAATATGTGATATGATGTCTCTAACATGCGTGTGAATTACACGATATGTACTGTTTCAAACCATATAATTGTCCTGCACTAGAGCGGCGAGCCCACACCACGAGACCAGACTCAGCGCTCAGCGAGGCCTCTTTAATTCAACAGTATAAGATGTGATTGAGCCCTAAGATGTAAGATACTTCTGAGACATCTACATGTTCCCACTAGCAGCCAATCAGCATTCATTTTCTCGGGCTGTTCTTCTTTGGCTCCCAATGTCTTTTATGTATTATTTATGTGGTGGGAAAAGGTGTGGTGCTGTGCCATCACATGCCTTGGGTCATTCGGGAGCTGGTATCTACATGCTGGTATGGTGGGAAAAGTCTAATTTAGCTGGTGGAGCCTCATTGTAATTCAGCCTGGCAGACTTCAGATGTTCATGTCAGGTATGTAAACCTAACGAAACATAATTGCAGTGCTGTGTGGAAATGGCTCTCTGACGCAATGGCTCTAGATAGGCAGAGCCAGCTGTCACTCATGCAGCTGGGTGGATCCAGACATCGATGTCGGTATCCGCCCTGGCGTCTCAGTATACCGCGAAGTGTAGCTCGCGGTATACTGAGCTTAGGGTAACGGGAGGACGCTAGTTTGTGTCCTCCCGTTACCCTAAGGAGAACTATGGGGAAAAGCCCTGACCCCATAGTTCTCCTTTAAGGAGGTGTGGGCTGGGAGGTTGAATACTCAGTGTGCTGCTTCAGGTTTATGCGGACCGGGGTGTCCGTTGTTTGTCAAAGCAGAACAAAAGGTAGGGAAGGAAGTGACACAGGTTTGACTCAGTTGTGGCGCTTCCTTCCCTACCTTTTGTTCTTCTTTGAATTGTGCTCTATCAATCCTGCATTCATCCATCACTGAATTGTCTGGTTTTTGGTGGGGTTAGCCCTTTATAATAGTGACCATCTCAGCCTATGGGTCGCTGTGCAAGGTGAGAGTTCTCCTCAGCTCTCTCCTAGCGCAGCAGTGTCAGTTCTCCCGCCACGCCTCTAGATGTCGCTGCAGCAGCCGTGTCATCCCTAAATTTGACCTTTGGGGGTCACCACAACTTGGCAAATGTTACCAAGGGGTCCCGGCCCTAGAAAGGTTGAGAACCACTGATCTAGGAAGATGGCAAGCCAAAGGAAAGAGTATTTATTAACTAAAGCTTAAAGTGATATTAATGTCAAAAGGTTTTTACGCTATTTCAAATGCTGATGAAATCACTTACAATGAATGCTGCTCCTTGATATTTAAAAGTTTTAGTTTCCTGCAGAATCAGCTGGTCCCCTGAGCACTGGCCCTGATATCCTGTTTTAGGCTGGCTCCTTATCCTTGCAGGGCCCTTTGGAGCCACCCTTGTGTGTGCTAGTAAATTTTATGTCTTTGTAATATCCCTTTCACACACCATACCGATGTACCCCAAACTCCAACGGGTGCTGCAACAACTGGTGGATTGCGCCACAATATAAAAATCTAGAAGATATGTTGTCCGCACACCATTCTGCTTCGGAATGTCCTTTTTAGGGTTGAATCAATTTTTATTAGAAGTTTCATAAGATTCATACAATACGGTGTAAAATCAACACATAAAAAATTAAGGCAATGCAATACACAGGGGAGTACCTTTCTCTGCAACGGAATGTCCTTTTTATTCGTATTCCTTTAGCATGACAAGTGTAAGCTTTGAGTGTCTCCACAAACACACAGGCACAACAGAGCAAGACATTCCCCTGCTCCCCTCTCCTCCTTCCCTTCTCCTCCCTTCTCCAAGCTAGTAGATGGACAGATGCTGGAGACTGCCCTGACCCTTGTGATCTTGTACTGGACAGGAGGTTCAGGGAAGCAGAGCTGAGAGAGTTGGAGCAGTTTGGAAACATGATGACTGTAAGTCTTTGGGCAAACATTTTAAGAAATACTTTGCTGGGTAATTTATATTTGATTATTCTGGATTAATTAATGAAAACAGTTTGAGAGTTTAATACTACTTTAACTTCAGGGAGATATCAAAGAAATAAATGAATAGAGCTCTGCTATCAATAATAAATCATTAAATGTATTTTCTAAAAGCAGGCATTGTATGTGGCAGACAATAGATGTCCCTTTTGTGTTTTCTGCTCAGTTTTCTGGTGTAGGCGGGTAGGCAAGAAGGCCCTGCCAACTCATGGTGGACACTCTTGAGCATATTGTCTGTAAGACTACACAATGGACGTGTCAGGTATAGCGCTATAACCATACGCACTTTCTAACACTTAGTCACATACCCGACTGTGAGGCGGTCGGCATGGGATACTGGTGTCCACTGTCGACTGCCCCCACTATGCAACTTAATGTATCCATGATATGTATATTCGTCTCACCTGTGTGTTTATGGTGGCTGCGTCCACCACCTGAAAATTGGTTACGAACCAGTATGTGCTCTTTGTGATCCTTATTTGTTCTGTTCAAATAAAACATGCCCCCCCCCCCCACCTCTATTCAAGCTTGGCTTCACTATTTTAACATAAATGGCCTCTTTCACACCTCTTAAACCAATCCTCCTCCCTGTCTAGGATGCGTACTTGACTGTCTTCAAAGGCGTGACCTTTTCCCTTTAGATGTAGGTATACTGCCGAATCCTGACCAGAGGGTCTGGCTCTCCTATGCTGTGCCATATGCTGGTGTAGCTGATGTTTTGTTTCACCGATATACAATTCTGAGCACTCCTCACTGCATTGGACTGCATACACAATGTTGTTCATCTTGTGTTTTGGCGTTGGGTCTTTTGGGTGAACCAGTTGTTGCCTCAGTGTATTGCTGGGTTTGAAGCAGACAGGGATGTGATGTTTTAAAAAAATCCTTCTGAGTTTCTCAGACATCCCAGCTACATATGGGATGACCAAATTCCTCCGTATGTCATGCTTTTCACCCTCACTGGTACTCTTGGCATTTTTTCCTCTTCTTATTTTTGTTTTAACAAAAGCCCAGTCTGGATACCCACACGTTTTCAGGGCTCCCCTGAGGTGTTTGAACTCCTTCATCTTGGCCTCTGTTCTGGTGGGAATTTTCTCTGCCCGGTGGTATAGAGTCCTGATGACTCCCAGTTTGTGGTCTAGAGCAGGGGTGCCCATAAGGTCGATCGCGAACCACCAGCGATGTCCTGTCTTCTCTGGATCCCCGCTGCTCTCCCCCATCTGCATGCAGCGGGGATCCGTGGAAAAGTGAAGCTGCAGTCGGCGGCGGGGGGCGGAGCGGCAGCAGGCCGAGCGGTGTGACTTCAATGCACCGCCACAACCCCTCCCGCCCCTGAATGCAGGTGTTTTTTCGCTGGTAGATCTCATTGAGCTCGTCATTTGAAAAGTAGATCTCCAGACGAAAAATTGTGGGCGCCCGTGGTCTAGAGGGTGGTGGGAGTCAAATAGCAGGTACTAGTCCATGTGTATTGGTTTCGGTGGACCTCTATTTCCAGCTTCCTTCCGTCTTCTATTGTTACTAAACAGTCCAAAAAAGCAGTTTGTTGTTTCGCATATCTTCCTGCGTAAACTTGATTTTATGATCCACTGAGTTGATATGGTCAGTGAAAGCCTGTAACTCTTGTTTGTGAATCTTAACCCAAGTGTCATCCACATATCTGAACCAATGACTGGGTGTAATTCCATTGAAGGTGGTCAGGGCCTCGCTTTCTACTTCCTCCATGTACAGGTTCACCACAATAGGTGAAACTGGCGATCACATGGTACAGCCATGTTTCTGCCTGTAGAACTTATCCTTGTACTTGAAATAGGTGGTACTCATGCAAAGGTCCAATAAGTTCTGCTGCCTAGGGTGTTGTCTAGTAGCAACTGTTTAGAGGGATGTGACATCATAGGATACCATTGTTTCTTCTTTGCCCAATATTAAGTTCTTGATTTTGTTTGTCAAATCCTGAGAGATTTGTATATGGTGTTGTGTCACGTCTCTCTGGGCTGGTTATTAACACCTCCTAGCTCCAATTATACAAATGCAATCAACACCTGGTTGTGACTAACAGATTATGTGGATTGGAGCAACATTCACCAAATTTATTCCCAGATAATTTTTGTACTGAATTGAGAAAGCTGGTTGGATGATCAGTGAAAAACGTCTTCAAGAAAAAAATACAGCAAGTCCAGTTGTCTTGACTTATTCTTTACAGATATACCATGACCTGGATGAATGAAAACCTTCACAGACACTTATACCCAATGCTCCTTAGCTCCATCTAGTGACCGTAATGCAGTATATTCTGAATGTTACATTCAACCTGAAAAGAAAATACTCTAACGTTCATTTTTGCCTCTATTAGCACAGAATGAACGTTCACAGAGACTGGAAGGATAATTGGCTCTGCAATTTGTCTATAAATTAACCCCTTAGTGTACTTGATTCTAAACTCATTTTGGCAGAAGACTAGTTCTGAAGCTCTGTACTGGTTATTTTTTTTTAGTTCTTTTTTGTGGATTGGTGTCCAAAACTGGAATGCAATTTAAAGGTGAGACATAACAATACCCTTAACACAGAATATGCTTGGTACCTTTTGGTTAATGTGATTATAAATCTCTGGCCTTTTACACACTTTGAAAGAAATCTTTTCCAGACATTTTGGTACAAATGGACAACCTATATACAGTAGACACACCTCCATCTACACTACAGGACACTCCATCATACACATTCTGTATATCATGGGCTGCTTTTGTGGACTTAGAATACAACTGAACGGTCCTGTTACTACTACACATCAGTGGCGTCACAAGGGGGGTACGGCCCGCATCTGGGTGACACCTTTGGAAGGGTGACACCAAGATGACTGACTGTCATTTTGGTGTCACCCCCTCTGAAAAGTCAGGCACTTGATCATGAACCGACAGCCTGACAGTTGCAGAAGAGGGGCCCCAGCGGCATACCTTATTCCGTCAGGTGAACATCCCCTCCTCTCTCCAAGATGGCCGCTCATGTGCAATGATAGCATGCGTGATAATGTTACGGCGGGGTGTCACCCGGTATCCGCTCCGGATAACACCCGGCCTTAGGACGCCCCTGGTCATAATTTTTATCTTTATCACATATCACAGCTGTCATAAAAAGCAATCACTAAAGAAATTAAGACAAATATAAATGATAAAATTGTGTTTTTTAATAGCTGATGTGGCAGATATAAGAACCAGCTTTCCTATGGACAGGAGGTTGACACTCATGTTCCCACGCTTACCTTGGCACCAGTTGTTGTTCTTGTACCTGCTTATTTGTCCGTGCTTTATAAATACTCCACATCACACATTCTGCTTCCCAGCTCCTTTGTATTCATTGAAAGCTGTTCACATTGGAAGGTCAGCTTCCAGACTCAGTAATAGTCAGTGTGAAGGAAGGTCCTGTGCATTGATGTGTGGTCGGTCACCTTCTAATACAATATTTGACTCCACAGAAGGGCACAGCAGAAGCACCTGATGGAGGAGGATCTGGAAGCAGTGGTGATGACAGCAATGATGAAGATGACAGTGATGAGGATGACAGTGATGATGATGACGAGGAGGAGGATGAAGAAGAGGCAGATGAACCTTTATCCTTAGGGTGGCCAGATACCAAAAGAAAGCAAATAACCTACTTGTTTCTCCTGCCCATTGTGTTCCCTCTGTGGCTAACAGTGCCCGATGTTAGAAGGCCGGTAAGATATTTTGAATGGGTATAGCTTTTACGCTGTTTCCCATTTCTAGTTTGTGTCAAAACTTAGGTGTGCCAGGTGTTCCTGTGAGCCGGTGGAGAGATCGCAAAGATCTCTCTGTGACTGGCACAGCATTACACAGCGCAGCAGCACTTGCCACTTACATACCTCACATAACAGCCGCAGTCCTCGGTGTCTGGGAAGCTGCGAGGGAGTGTGGCTGCGGCTTCCCATCCAATCAAGAAGCCGGGTGGGTGGTCACATTACTCTAATAAGTGATGGGCGCTAACAAAGAGGAAAAAGAAGAACCTTTAATGGAGGAAATAAAATGAAACTTTTCGAGGACTCTAGTGAGGATGATGCACAAACGTAATGTGCGGAATGTTTGTGTCCAGTCCAGTGACCGGTTCATGTTTGGTTGTAGTGTTCTATTTCTATTTAAGTGGAAATAAACCCAACACATTTACTGTTTCCTGAAAGAAAACTCATGATACAAATGTTCAGTAAAGGTTTTTATACACCTAACCCTTGCGGCCCTTTAGGGGATTCCTAACACCAGGAGTTGGAGGGCGACTACCTGATCACGTGATCACTGTGATTGGCTGCCAAGGCGGTCATTTGCCCTACTATCTCTTGATTGCACATGGTGACTGGGATCTACTCATTGTAATGGGAGCACGCCAGTGAGCAAGCTTTTAGAACAGTGGGGCTGGCTGCGTTAAGACTCATCTGTCGCGGTGCTGCATATGCAGTATGTGTACGGCCGATGGGAAGGTGTTAATCAAACAAACCGATGTTTTCTTCAGTGTCTTTATTTATATTCTGCCTGCAAGAACATGTGCAGTGCATTCTACATTCAAGCCATACCTCTGGTGATAACAATTGCCAGTTGTCAGCTTTCGTCCAAACTTTCAAGCCCTCCAATGGCTGGCCTCATAGCAGATCACATACGCAGCACCATGACAACTGGAGATCAAAATAGAGGCTAAGATGGAGCAGTTTTTGGCAGGCAGGGGGAGTTGCAGCATTGAGGGGAGCAAAGTCATCCTATATTTTTGAACATCCAAGGTCATTTAGCAGGAAAAGAAATGCAGATTGTTTTGTTTTATTAGTGAAATGATAGGAGAGGTTAGTTCCCCTTTAAATATCTGTGTGTATAAATAACTCTTCTAGTTGTCATATTATTAGGGGGTTGGCGCTCTAGAAAATAGTATACATGTAATATTATATTCATATCCAGTAGAAATCTAGGATTACAGGATGTATAAAAAAGGAGTGATGGGTTTAGAGTGACACTAAACTCAGGAGTTAAATCTTAAAAATGCATCCAAGTACCTTAACTATTAACAAAAATGTATCTTATTTGTAGGGATGCACCGATACCCATACTAGTATCAGTACCGGTGCCGATACCAAGGATTTGGGCGAGTACCCGTACTCACCCAAATGCTCCCGATGCTTATCCAGATACTGAAACTTCCGGTATCAGGAAGCCAGGCGGCAAGTCATTAAACGACGCCGGGCATCCTGATTGGCCAGGAAGCCGGCTCCATGCTCCCTCATCACTTGGTGACGAGGGAGCATGGAGTCGGCTTCCTGATTGGTCAGGAAGCTGGCCAATCAGGAAGCCAGGAGGCGAGTCATTACCTGCGCCCCCCAGCTTCCTGATTGGCCAGAAAACCGGCTCCATGCTTCCTCATCACCTGGTGACTAGCTGGAAAGCCCGCTCCATGTTCCCTCGTCACCAGGGGATGAGGGAGCATGGAGTCGGCTTCCTGATTGGTCAGGAAGCTGGCCAATCAGGAAGCTGGGGGGCGCAGGTAATGACTCGCCTCCTGGCTTCCTGATTGGCCAGGAAACCGACTCCATGCTTCCTCATCACCTGGTGACGAGGGAGCACGAAGCTGGCTTTCCAGCTAATCAGGAAACCGGGCGGAGAGTCACTACACGCCGCCCGCCTTCCTTAATGGGACTTCCGGTATACGTGAGTACCGTAAAAAATATCAGTACTCGAACCGGTATCGGTGCATCCCTACTTATTTGTGTATCACTCAGCTGTAGATCCTGTTGCAAAGTAGCCACTGCTCCTAGCTCACTACCGTGATGGACTACAATCTCTCATTTAGTTTGCTCATTTGTATTGAGATTGTAGTTCATCACGGGAGTGTGCTTGGAGCGGTGGATACTTTACAACACACAGGGACCATGGGGAACACAAGTAGCCACCCTCCAGAAGGAAGGACAGTGTCGGCACCAATTCAGAGATGATTTGAGGATCTACAGCCGAGTGATACACAAATAAGACACATTTATGTTAATAAGGTACTTGAATATATTTTTAAGATTTAACTCCTGAGTTTAGTGTCACTTTAATGATGTTCTTTTTAAAAAAATCCACCTTTTGTAGAATAATAACAATAAATGCACACTTCTTCAGAAAAGAAAGTAGCAGTAGATCAGTAGATTGCAGGTGCAATGCTCTGGCTCCTGCAGACTGTTCCTCCCATCCATGTCCATACCGAGATGAACACACAGATGGCAGAAGTGTTAGGATTCACCTGAAGCTTTCTGGATTAGAAGCATGGAGGTAAGTGTACACGTCATCACGTCCTAATTCAGAGAGCTGGTGATCCTAAATTGCTATAACAATCATGTCACCTGCACAGCATCATTTTTACATATATCATAAGACAACTTTCATCTTTTTGTTTTTTGTTTTTTTAGAAATCGAGGAGGTATTTTGTCTTCACATTTCTGGGCTCTATCATGTGGATTGCTATATTCTCATACCTCATGGTCTGGTGGGCACATCAGGTGAGTACACATCATAAAATGCTGTGTATTCTGGTGAATATTACTGAAGTATTCTAAGTATAATGACCTCAATAGATAAAATATAATGCTATATTTTAATGCTAAGGAGCTTATTAAAAGTATTAATACATTTTATTAGGTCTCATATTGTCAAGCTAGATTGTAAAAGTATAAACTCCTAGCTCTAAGACTTTAGACAGAGGATTGATTTTTTTCCTCCTCTCTCCCAATAAATCTTACTTACACCTCTAGTAAATTTGCAAACCCTTCATTGACCTCTGTACTTGTATGCCATGCAATGATTCATGTCTACACCTTGTTTCAAGTTATGGATACAATAAACAGAGATAAAAATAAACGTGTAAACCCAAAACAAATACCATAAAAAATGTCATGTATACAGTGTATCATTTTTACATAGAGGCACTTTTTATATTAGCCAGCAGAGGGCGCTGTCCTTCAGGAATACACATCCTGGAAGTTCAGTCTAGATCTGTCTGTATAATGATATTACAGAGGAAAAGGGAAACAATTTACTGTTAATAGCATATTATAGATAAAGTCCACCTTTTAGAAAATGGTAATAAATGCACACTGCTTCATAAAAGAAAAAAACTGCATTTATTATTCTTGTACATTGCAGTCAGTAAAGCACTGCAGCCGCCATCAATGGATTGCAGGTGCAATGCTCTGGCTCCTGCATATTCCTGTTCATGTCTGCACCCCGGTATATAAATTCAGCAACATGGACGGGAGAAGAATGTATGAACTACAAGTGTGTTGAACCAATGTGTGAGAACTACAAGTCCCTCTGCTGCAATGGCTGATGGGACTTGTATTCTCTTCATTCACAGATCATGTCATGATGCTGATGATGTGGCTGTGTGGGCGGAGTCATGCAAAGCCACACCAAATGACCTTCAAAGTGCTGAGTCTCTACATTAGGGTATAACGGTAGATATTATTATTATATACTCTACATGCAGCATAATCATCTCCATCCAGCATCAGTTTAAAGGGAAACTATGGTGACGAGCTAGGAACCTCAAAACTCCAGCTGTGCTAAAACACCCATCATGCCTCTGCCTCTTCGAGTCAGTCTTGCAGTGCACGATGGGACTTGTAGTTCCACAGCAGCGTACATGCTCCCTGCACAGTCACAACTACTCTGCTCAATCAGGGAGGGAGCCGTTGGCCGTTGTTAGATGGAGCACAGTAGTTGTGATTCTGCAGGGGGGCATGTCGGACCGCAGGAGACTAGTACTCTCAGCGGCCCTCATCATCAATGTGTTGCCAGGGAAGGGAAATTGGCCTAGGGTTGGTGCACGGGTAAAAAAAAAAAACATTTGAAGACTTTACATTTTAAGCACGCTGATTTTCTGGCAGGTAAAAAAAGTAAATCTTCAATTGGTCTTTAAAGCTGAACTCTGGGACAAGCTTCTGTGCAGGAGCTTCGTGCTATAAAGACCGGTCACTGCTGCTCTCTCTCCTTGTGCAGGGGACTGGTCTTGTAGCCGCCCCCTCCTGCTCACTGCACAGAACATGTACAGCACAGTGACAATTTCTAATTTTACAAGGTATTATCTGAGCGTGCAAAGGCATTTTGGCAGTGACGTGCCGCGCCGTGCCTTGTGTGTTCGGTGAGGCATGCCCCAGCCAGTCAAAGCTCCATCCTCGTCCCACCGAAGATCCGCACCGTCCCGCCGTGGCACTGCTCCCAGCTAGGAAACCAAGCTGTGTGGGGAGGAGACAGGAATTTTGGCAGTGACGTGCCGTGCCTTCTGTGCTGGGTGAGGCATGCCCCAGCCAGCCGAAGGTCCACCCTGTCCCACTGAAGCTCCGCACCGTCCCACCGAAGCTCCGCACCGCCCCACCAAAGCTCTGCTCCCAGCTCGAAAACCAAGCTGTGTGGGGAGGAGGAAGGGAGGAGACAGGGAGAGGAGACAGGGAGGAGCCTCCCTGTCCCTCACTTGCTCGTCACTGGTGAGGCACCGAGATCAATGTCCTTACTGTTTTTTTGTTTTTTTTCTTCTTTTTTTGATTGGACAGCTTGGACCAATGGCGCTTTGCCATTGGACCAAGCCATCCACAGAGCTCACGCCTCTAACATAGAGTAGAAGATGTGACAGCTCTTGCCTCATTAGTTAGGTTACACAAGCAGTGGCGGAGCCTGCTGCTGTGTAACCTAACTACTTGTCAAAAGCCAGATGCAGCGCTGCATGTAATTAACAGTCAGCACTCCGTCCCTGACAGGCTGCTCAGCGGGGAGGATTTCAAATGTCAGTTAGGAAGTTGACTTTTCTGACTTTACAGTATAAATGTTTTGTAATTAAAAAATTATGAACCTGCTGGCAATGTTATCTTTTGGGCAGGTGGGGGAAACCATTGGCATTTCAGAAGAGATTATGGGTCTGACCATACTTGCCGCTGGCACATCAATCCCAGATCTTATCACTAGTGTCATAGTGGCAAGGAAGGGCCTAGGAGACATGGCCGTGTCCAGCTCTGTGGGCAGCAACATATTTGATATCACTGTAGGGTGAGTATGCAGAATGAATCTGTACAATTCATGGTTCTTTGGCAACACGCATGCGCTACACCACATGACCTCTCACTTCCTGTTGTGGCTATCAGACAGGAAGTGAATGCAAATCTCCCGAATGGGACACAGATGGAAAAGAAGCAGACAGGGGTTATAACCCTCCCTTATGCTAACCAAAACTAAAACATTTTTGGGGATTTAGTTCTGATTTAATATCATGGCTTCTATTTGACAAGAAATGGCTGCTGTAATACAATTAGTACTGTGCAATAAGGCAGTTATGCCATTTCAAATAAAAGTTGAAATCCCCTCTGCTAACAAAGCACATTTTAATTTACAATATCAGTACTCCATTTGGCAGCATAACAAAACAAACACATACACTGAATGCCAAATGATATAGCACCTGATAGTGTGCATTTTACAATTAGGCCTCATTCACACTGCGATTTGGGATTCCTGCCTCAGGAACTACTTATTCCTGCAGGAGGAATTCCAAATTGTCTGTATGAATGTGGCCACTGTCACCCATTCAAGTTAATGACCGGGCGAGAGCGGCCGCATCTGTAAGCGGCAGTCGTATGTGATACAGGTACATGCTGTTTGGAATAGATCACTATCTCTGGGCGCACGATAGATGCTTGATAGAACTTGATGGGTGACATCGGCTGCATCTAAAGTGGCACAGAAATCCCAAAACGCAGTGTTAACCCCTTTACCCCAAAATGTGTTTCTTTTGTTTCAGATTTGTATTTCTTTCATTTTGGGGATTTCAGATTCCAAATTTGATTCGGTTCAATATTCGGATTTAGAATCTTTCAGAATTTTTATTTTGGGACAAAGTCACATGACCGTGTCTGTAATGCAACCCCCAACAGCCAAAAAAACACATCTGATTGGCCAGAAACCAGTCACATGTATGAATTAGTTATGTTTTGAACAAAATCTGGACGGATCCGAATATTCGTTAAAAGAGCATTCGGATGTGTTAGAATTCACAAATTTGTATGCATCTGAATGTCCGAATTTAACGAAATTGGTACAAATATCCATTCGTAATTACACAAAATTTACATGTCCAGCATGTACACAAGAAGATGCTAAAAATTTTGAAAGCACGGAATAAATAAGCTTTGCACTACATGTTCTCAGTGGTGTCACAAGGGGGGTGCGGGGGCTGCGGCCCGCACCCGGGTGCCACCATTGGAGGGGTGCCACCAAAATGACTCACAGTCATTTTGGTGTCACCCCCCCTCAGAAAAGTCGGGCGCTCGGTCATGGACCGAACACCCGACAGTATCAGGAGAGAGGAGGGGACCCGGCGGCATACCTTATCCCGCCGGGTTACTGTCTCCTCCTCTCTCTGCTGGCGTCCATGACCAAGATGGCCGCCGGCAGGTATCAGAATACTGCCGCGCGTGCGCATGTCACGCGCAGTGACGTCCCGGCGGGGTGACACTCAGTTACCGCTCCGGGTGCCACCCAGCCTCGGGACGCCCCTGCATGTTCTCTAGTTGGCCTGCAGTACTGTATACCTTGGGACTTGCTAGGTACTCAGCTGCAGATCCTCAAATCATCTGAATTGGTGCTGACACTGTCCTTCCTTCTGGAGGGTGACTACTTTTGTTCCCCATGGTCCCTGGGTGTGTTGTAAAGTAGTCACCGCTCCAAGTGAGTAAACCAAACATGAGATTGTTTTCTCTTTTCATCAATCATACCCAATGGGCCTTATTAATTGTGTCCATCATACACTGCAGCATAGCAACCAATAAGATTGCATACTTTACAGCTTGGTGAAAATTTGAATCAGATTGTTTTAGGGCAATACAGACAATTTTATAGAACAAGGCTCAACGTGTCTCTTGTTTCTTGGCAGGTTACCGGTCCCCTGGCTCCTGTTCTCAATGTTTAACGGTTTCAGTCCTGTGGCGGTCAGCAGCAACGGCCTGTTCTGCGCCATCGTCCTCCTTTTCCTTATGCTTCTCTTTGTTATATTCTCCATCGCTGCCTGCAAGTGGAAAATGAACAAACTGCTGGGATCCACCATGTTCATACTGTACTTTGTGTTTGTCATCGTCAGTGTGATGCTGGAGGACAGGATTATTGTGTGCCCTGTATCTATATAAGCCCATCATAAGAACCCATAAACACCTAACCCCGCCGAGCATAGGGCATCCACAAAACTTCATCATCCAGTGATAACATACGTGGTGTGAACTGTCATAAATATATTTTCTTATTCCTATTTTTTATATACACATATTGCTAACTTACCTAGTAGCCAGCAATGTACCAGACTAGCAAAAGGACTCGAATCTCAGCCTAGAAAATCCTTCCCTGACCTGCACACAGCCTGAGGCTCGGACTATGCACACAAATGTTACGTTCTCTTGTATTACCTCTACCCCTATCATTAGAAATGTCTGCCAAGAACTATGTGAACTCAGTTGATATTTTTAAACATATTCAGTAAACTTAAACTAAACAAATCTGGTGGTGATTTCTTTTTTTTCCATATAAATATTTATTGAGGTTTACAAGGATAACAAAGTCACAAAACTGTATGTAGAAAGCTCATACAAGGCCAATGTACATAGGAGCTGTATTTTATCATTCAGGACAATCATATAGGAAGACAACTGCAAAAAAAAAAGGCTTGTGGCGAAGCACAGCAGCTGCTCGCACATATCGAGCATCATAGGGAACTGTGGGTGAGACGAGCTATTGGGGGTGATTTACTAACCTAAACACACGCACGCACCAGGTGCGTGTGATTTTTACACAGCAAAACGTATTTATCAACCAAAAAGTCTCTAAAAGCATATTTCCACTAATGCCATATATGGAAAAATCATGCACATGATGCATATATAATGCTGCTTCACAGTTTAGACAAAAATGGTTAGCTCATGCATTTACATTCCTGCATTCATCAACACAAGCAACACAACATAGAGCTAATTTACACAACATCACCTTGTAATTCATGCTTGGCTTTGCACAACACACCTGCTGGGTGTGTACACACTACAAAAGGTGTTTAGATTCCACCCATAGATCATGCTGGGAGGGAACACACTACAGAGGTGTATACATGTTCGTGGTGTGTTTATAAGGTTAGTAAATCAACCCCATTGAATCTCCATGTAAAACTTGAAGATGCATAAATAAGTGTTGGCGTGGCTGCAGATACTACAGGAGTGTGGCCTAAAGGAAACCAGACACAGAGTAAGCAGGAGGGTGTCCTGAGGTTAGATACATAGAGGTACATCGGAAGAGATGGGGAGAGAGGAAGAAAAGTGGTAGAAAAAGAAGAAGAGAGAGGAATACAAGGGAAGGAATGAGGAGAGGGTCAGGCTGCGGGTAGGGGAGGACGCGACATCAATTGTGACGTTTTCAAATAATTCCCTTCACAATGTTAGGCGATGGCGGTGAACGTCAGAGGGTATTTCTCGGTCCAGGGTGCCCATATTTTCTAATTTATGCATGGTATGGTCAAGCTGCGCCGTTCGCTTCTCATGTGACATTACCCAGATTTCTTTTTTTTGAGAATGATATTGGTAAAGATTGAATAGCCCCATAGAAATTTTACTACTGTTATTTTTACTATTGTTGGTAGGCAACTCAGGCAGGGGTGTCAATTTAATCGTGGGCCGCATCAACATTATGGTTGCCCTCAAAGGTATCTGTAAGACTATCTAAATGTATCTAATCTTTATCATAATTGCCTCTGCATTCGATTATCACTGGTTATACTAATAACTTAATACCTAGATCTGAAAGTAGAAGTCTAGGAAATGGCATGGAGTTTGACAAATGTGGCCTACTGAATATCAAATCTATATTTTAGGTTAAAAAAATACTATCAGACCCCGTTCACATTGAGCGATTTATCGCGCGGTAAGTCCCGCGATATCGCGGCAAATTACTGCGCGATATCGTGCTCCAATGCAATCCAATGGGGCAAAGGGTCCTGCTGTCGCGGGTCGCTACAGCAGGACCCTTTTTGGAGCGGATTTAGCCGTGATTCAAGCTTGCTCAATGCAAGCTTGAATGCGACATCGCGCAGCAAATCTCGCGATGTCGTGCGATTTGCATATCGCGCAGTGGGAACGGGGCCTTAGATTCATTTTAGTGTACACAAAGAATATAATCCCCATTTTTTTGGTCATATAAAAGCAGAGGTTATGTCGAGTAAATAGATACTAAATATGTCAAGTCCCAAAATTGTGAGCACCTGTGAAATGGTGGAAACCTAGACCAAACCCTTGTGTGTGGCAATATCCACTATGTGTTATGCGGTTGTTGTTTTCATGTGCACCCGATGTGTTGTTTTTTTATTCCATTTGATTTTAAAACTTTTTTTTTTTAAATGTAACCTTATTACTATCACAAGGGGGCTGCCAAACATAGTGTGGGTGACAGGAGCTAATTAAGGAGATATCAGGGGTCATTATAGCCCTAATGTTGCCTCTGCTGAAGCTGATCAAGCACAGATTGTGCTCGATCTGTTGCTTCCTCTGCCAGAGCCACTATATATTGACAGCCCTGAACCTGGAAGTGCTCAGGTCTGAGTGCTTCCAGGTTCATTCTTCACAGGCATGGATCAGAAAATGGATGTTAACTAGTTGCCCGCAGCTCTCCATTATGACACCTACCATGGAGGTCCCTGGCACCCAGGAGGGACAGGTAAGTCTTGGACACATGGCAGGTAGGGGTGGTATCCTCAAGTACATGTAGAAGTAATCAGACAGCTGTTACTTCTACAAGGATCCCGGCAGCTCAGTGTAAAAAGGTTAATGCTGGGCACACACCTAACAACCATCGCAAGACTTTTGTCTTGCGATGGTTGCAAGCTACTTAAAAAAACGTACAATCTGCCTATCTTGGACAGGCAGATCGTACTTGCGATGATCGCAAGCCGCGCCCCCGAGCGATGACCGCAATGCTGGACGGGCAGTGTGCGATTGCGCACACCGGCCCGTCCGGCTTTTATCTTACCAACATGCTACACACCCGCCGAACATCGTACGATGCTCGGCGGGTTTTCGACCATGTTCGTAAGTTTAAAGTCATGCGACCTTTCAGTAGTAGAGGTCGCGCGGCTTCCACACACCTTACGATAATCGTACAATCGCGGGATTTCCTGCGATTATCGTAAGGTGTGTGGGCACCCTAACACTCAGCTGCTTCAGTCACCATAGGTTTGTTTACATGCCAGTACTGCCAATAAGGATCAATCCTGTACTAGAAAACTATAGCTGGAATATGAGAGTAGTATCATCCTGTGTTTGTGGGGCAGTACAGACATTTTTAAATTATCAATGTTATGATATATGGCATTTAAAAACCCCAATCAATGAAGCAATTATATCTCATCAGAGAAGAAATCCTCTATTAAGTTTTTGAAATAAAAATGGTTTGTATACTGTACCAATGACAAGTGGCATGGTCCTTGCTTACCACAGTTGTGTATTTTGTTATCATTGTGGAGGTAGATCACTTAACCGCCTCAAATTTCTCCTTTAGATCCCTCTCACAGAGGCGTTCTGATCGGTTGAAGCTCAGTGTTAGGCTATAGCCAGATCCAGACGTGTATGTTTGTTACATTTGATTACGTTAGAATAGATAAAAAAGAAAAGGAAAAGGTTTGTGTCCTTTTCTGTTTTTCAGACTAAAGCTGGCCATACACCTTACAATTATCTGCAGATTTTCTGTGGTCAGATGGAGAAGGTGCAACAGATTCCTCCATCTACACTTAACTGTGTGGATGGAGTAATCTCCACCTGGGCCAATCTGTTGCACTTTTTCCATCTGCCCACAGAAAATCTGCAGATAATTGTAAGGTGTATGGGCACCTTTAGGCGTGATGGATCAGAAGTAAAAGGGTGTAAACCCATCCATGTCTGTTTACATTAGCCGGCCCATAGACCAATGGTTTCCTGGAATGGAGACCAGCTACCACTGCTCCTTTGATATTACCAGTGCAACTGGCTATATAGTCCTGTAATGTGTACCGTATATCCTTCAATGTAAGGCACCATAAAGATCCTTATTCCTGGCTGCTTAGGATTTCCAAACTTTACTAAGCGATGCAGTGGTTGCAGCAGGAATAAACATGCTGTATTCTGGCCAGAGAAGTGACATATTAAAAAAATACTGTACATTGGGAAAGGGAGGTTGGGGTAAGAAAAAAAAGAAATGATCCCCGCGATAAGCCCTAAAAATAATTCTCCAACATCATGCCGGGGTTAAGATGACAGGACAACTCTAATGTCTGCAGAAACGAAGTTCTACACCATAGTTTGGCCACCTCTGATCTTTTCCTAGTAGAAAATGGTTGACACAAACTCTGGTATGTCTATAAACTTTCATGCACAATTACCAGTTTGTGGATTCCATACAAAACAAAAAAAGATAAAATGTGAAGTGACAACTATTATTGTGCGCGCCGGTGAATGTCAAAGTTTGCTTGAAGAATTTAGAGTGAAAATTCCTTGCTGGCCCTGGAGAGGAAAACTACTGTTCACCTGCGATTGTGTTGTTACAGTAGACTTACAAAGCTGCTGCAGACGGTCCTGTAAATGTAGGGAATGTAAGGAGCTTACCCTTTAGGGCCCATTCACACCACATCCAGATTACCTCCAGACCAGACTGTTTCCGGTCCCAAAATGCATCCCGATGCATCCCTATGCTATGTCTGGCCTCTGTTCCCACCAGCGCAGTCTGTTCCAGACCAGTAAAATACTGCTTGTCCTATTTTGTCTGGTCTGGAACGCATCAAAAACGCCTGGAACTCACCTGTAAGACCATTTTAGGCCTGGTTCACACCTGGGCGTTTTACAGCACGTTCCCACGCGCTATAAAACGCTCAACATGTGAAAACCAATGATTGCATATGGGCATGGTTCACACCTGCAAAAAGCCCCATGCCCAAAGAAGTACAGTAGCTTATTTGGGGCGTATTTGCCGCACGTATCTATTAGGATACAGCTGGATAGCCCTCGGAAACGCGCGTTTGTCGAGGGTTTTTTTTTTTACCGCGAATCGGTACGCCTTGGTGTGAACCCAGCCTTAAGCTAAAAGAAAAATGCAATGCACTATGTTCCAGATCTGGTCAGGAAAATGGTGTGAACTCAGCCTAAAACAGGACAGTCTGCAAATATGAGTATACGTTTGCTGCCGGCTGAATTTGGGGGTGAAATATTGAAAATCTGTAAGTAGATGTCTAACAGGCAGTGTAGGCATGACATTCAAAGATATTTCTGAACTTGTATTCACTAATAAAGAGAGGGGAAAAAGCAAGAACAGAAAAGACTCGGCTGCCTAGAGACATTTGGAGGCTGTAGAAGGATTTACTGACACGTTTGTATGCAGTCTGACACATGTGCTAGATTTGTACAGCTTTCTGGCAATGGCCAAAGATAAAAACAGGCCCCTTGGCCTGCAGATCTCTGGTTTATACGTGTGTTTATAAAATTGTCATGAAGAATAATAGTGGGGACATAATCTTTTTAACACATGATACATAGTCAATTAAAAAACCTAAAAATATCACCATATGTAATTAGAGCAGGGAGCCAAAATGTTTGGTTATGACTATTTAGCACACTATACCTCTAGAAGGCTACACCAATGATAAAGGAAATCATATTAGGTAACAATGGGGATGGTTGTTTTGTGATTCACTGCCAAAAGTGCCTACGATGAGCATCAGAACTGGATCATGTTCTTTTTTTACATCATATGTGTGGCTAGGTGCGTGCGTGTCGCTTACATGGGGAAGGGATGGCACCAAGCAGAAGGCAAGCCAGTGGAGGCAGTGTGTGGCTTTGGGCAATGTTCTGCTGGGAAACCTTGGGTCCTGGAATTTATGAGGATGTTACCTTGACATGTACCACCTACCTTAAACATTTTTTTTTTAAAGATACTTTTTATTATTATTTTTTTTTTAATGATGAGGTTACAACATTTCCCGCACAAAGGGAAAAACCCGGGCAACATACCCAGTGACAAGAACATCAAAACCAACAACAACAAACAAAACAAAAACAAACCCCCAAAAAAATCAAAAAAAAAATCCAGTAGCCTAATTAGTGCACAGTCTCATTACACAAAGACTTTACGGTCTCAGTACAGGCATATTAAATGCATGGCATCACCTCATTATACAATGATTATGGAGCGCCTTTAGATGAACCTGGACCTCCCGCTCTTATACTAGGACACGTAGTACCTTTATGCAGGATCCGATGTTGTAGTAATAGAGGAGAGCCAAGGGCCCCAAATACGTTCAAACCGGGCCAGGCTACCCCTCTGTGCATAGGTCAGCTTATACAGCGGCAGTGACTGATTGACCAGTTTTTTTCCAGCAACCCAGGGAGGGGGGCGCGGGCCCTGCCCATACCAAAAGGATAGCCTTCTTAGCGTAGAACAAAAGTATCCGGATGAGGGTCTGGGCCCTAGCATCCAACATCAGTTCACCGAAAAGACCCAATAAACAGAAAGTGGGATTGCATATATTGGGGAACCCCAAGCCAGTCTCCATAAAACCGGTAATCTCTGACCAGTATGAACGGATATGTGGGCAGGACCAAAAGGAGTGGAAAAAATCTGCCCTTTGACCGCAGCGCTTAAAGCACTGCGGGGTGGGGCGAAGACCTAGTGTATGTAGAAGGGATGGAGTATAATAGACCTGATAAAAAAACTTCACTTGTAAGATTCTATCTTTAGAAGCGATTACGGAAGACATGTATGTGTCCTCAAAATCACTCCAATCATCCCCATCCAGGTCTGGGAGAAGGGTCTGCCATTTTGCTTTGCGTTTTTCAAACCTGGACGACCTGGTTGCCATAAGTTCCGCATAATATGTCGATACCAGTTTAATGGAGGTGTCTCTACGTAGCATCTCTTCCAGAGGAGACTGGATTGGGACAAACGTATTCGACCCGAATTGGGCGCGAACTGCATGTGACAATTGAAGGTACGCCAAGAGAGCGGTGGGAGGGAGCCGTAGCTCCTCCCTGAGTCTACCCTAAACATTGTTGCTGACCAAGTACACCCCTTTTTTTAAATGAAACAGAATTGCTTAATGAGTGGCATCTGATTGCCCATAGACTGACATGGGGTCCGGTAATTTCAGTTTTTTTCCTCCATTGCAAGATGCAGGAAAAAAACTGTACGGACACGGATATCACAATGGTGAAAACCACTCCGTACTGCTGTAATCAAAAGAGGATCCTTACACAGATCCTCTCCTGATCAGCCCGTGTGAAAGGGGCCTAATAAGACTTACTGTATCAGGGTATAAATATTAACTTTGTACTTTTCTGAAAAGGCATTGAGGCTGCCATTGCAACTTCTCATTCCGCAACTGCTGGTTGCCTGGCTGTCACATTTACCCCTATTGCTTCAATACTTTGTGTCCCTTACCAGGAACAAGCATACAAATAAGGGTGTCTGCCTTACCTGCATCCTTGTTCCAGATCTTTGACAAACCTTACAGAACCCACATTGTCAGTGTATTACGGGGATAGTAACGACAGCTCTAATGAGTTTCTCAGGAAAGGTTTTCTTTAAAGTTAACCATTTATGACAAAAACATGGGGGTGTGCCACTGCAGGCCTCTCTTTAAAAATGCTAGTTTTCTGGTACAATGCTAACCTACATACTTCAGTATACTCTCAGTCACTGACCTGGAACAAGTACACAGATCAGGAAAGTCAGACAAAATGTCAGATGTCCTTATCAGCTTGCTTTCAAGTCTGTGAGTGAAAGTAATGAAGCCAGCAGGGCAGCATGGAAGCCAGGCATCTAGCATTTGAGAATGAGAAATCAGCAATGTTTCTCCCAGGAAAGGTTTCTTTTAATGACTCCTTATACTTGAGAGATCATATGCACACTTACCTGTCATCACACTTGGAAGCCCGCACGTTAAAAGCAATATTACTGCACAAGCAATTAGAAATGAACAGAAAACAGTCCGATTTCAAAAGACGTTTAATAAAATAAAAGCAACATAACGAAAGGTCACATGGTAACAACCATGAACAGATCATACACATCACCAGTAAACCAACTTCATAATTACTGTTTCTTGCAGTACACACAACCGGTTCCTGGCAGTGCCTAAGCAATTGTAAACCAAAAGGGATTTGTAGATTCTATGACCGCAGCTATACACAGCAGACTTCAATGGTTCACTTCTGCTTTATATAGCATCTGCATGTCAATGTACAGTACAAGCTGGGGATGGGCAACCACAGCACTGCAAATGAACCACATCTCCCATGATGCAATTCAGCAACAAGCTGATCATCTGCTCACCGTCGGTCTAAAATGGGGCATTGGAAAGAGATGCGTGCAAAGAAAACTGGAGCAAAGCGGAACAGTTATCAGTGAGATTTCATGTGTACTTTAAAAGATAAAACTCTGTGTAACTGCTGCACTTTTACTCCAATTTTCTTCCTTCCAGTCTTTGTAAATTGTCTGCACCGTCTTCCACTATGTCATAAGCTTTTGATTCTTAAAATAGAAATGTCGGACCAATGTAAACTAGCCTCTGACCATAAAAATAAAAGGGAATTCTATCATAAAATCCATCTTTTCTCAGTAAATTATTATTTTTTGTGGAAATATTACAAATCTACAGAATATACACAACTGGATAGTACCATCTGGCTTGAGATAATAAGGAAATGAAGTGGGAACCCTGTCTGGAGGAAAGCCGTTGTTGGGCTTAGTCCAGTGTGGGGAGAATGCCTGTATGATCAGATTGGTTACAGTATACAAGTAAAATATAATGTCCAATAATTGTGTCAACCCCTAACACAGCACAATGGGACTTTATTGCACGGACGACCTGTGTTTTCCAACTATATAACCGCTATTACAGTACAGTATTTATAGTGCAAAGCAAAGACCTAATATAACCTGTAGCATTATTACTGGGAATGTAATAGCATTGATTTAAGTGCACTAGGATTAAATACATCATATTTCTTATCAGCAATAATAATAATAATAATTATGTAAACAGCAAGCCACCTGAGGGTTCTGGGATTATGATCTATAATGAAAACAGTCGGGTCATCTGGTCATAACTGTTCATCATTGAACACAGCCAGTTTAGCCATAGTCAAAAAAATGTTTTGGATAAAGTAACAGTACTCCCCGTGAAATGTACTCGTACCCGGAACGATGCTGTGTCTATATCACAGTATATATGCCTGCTTTTCCAGTTAGTGGTTACATGACTTTAGTTGGCTCTGCATTCATGACCAGCATCAAATTCATGTTTGACCATGACCAGCATCATGATTTCAGGCCCATAGTACATTACATTTCATGTTTTTTTTACATTATACAAATTGCCTAATTTGTACATGGAAGAATAAAAAGGACTTTGCTTTCTGGTATCGCATAGGTTTGGGACATATCCCAAAAACTAAAATGTGGGGGGCAAGGAAGCAAAATGGAGGCTGATGCATCTATGTCGTTCTAGCCTCAATAGCTCCAGAGGGGTTTCCTCTATCACAGCTAAAGCTTCTGCATCATTCAAACCTGCAGCCTTGCGCCGTCATGGAATTAGTGTATTTATTGCTGACAGAACGGAGATAGAAATAAAAAGATCAAGTGGTGAATGATTAAATAGAGGCAACCTGAAGCTGCTGCTGAACCACAAATCCCGCGATCCACTGCCAGCTTCTGGATGAAGGTTGTTGCCAGCTTAACTAAAAACAGGCTGGAATGTTTTTTTTTCTCCATCCTAAGAAAGTGCCGAGGAGGCAAAATAAATTAAGAGATGAAAGATTTAAAGGGAGCCCACAAATGGGGCCCAGTAACATACCGCTCATAAAACATGTTCTTCACTCAGTACCCTTCCAGAAAATAAAATGAAACCATGACTTACTAGGCATGTAACCTATTTTACACCAAGATTCTTGATAACATTAAATATAAATATTCTGTGTAAACTACAACACTCGGAATGATGTCGATCTCTCGTCTTCCTCCTTTTTTAAAGGACCTGAACTTCAAGCACAGAAAAGGCCAGGCTACCCTGCCTTTCTTTCATAACCTGATTCTCACGCAGGGCTTATGCTAAGAGTGAAAATCTTCCATATTGCTCGTTCACAATGCTTGATCTCATCGGACACACAGGTGTCGAGATCTGCCACTTGTAGCCATGAAATGATGGGAGGACCAGAACACGCTCAGAGGAATGGCTGCCCGAAGGTTCTCCTGCATTCTGTGACGCCTGTGCTGGGGGGACGATCACAGATCTGACTGCACTTCACCTGCTCAGGGCTCAGCCGGTCATAAGCGGCTTTGTATTCCCGGTCAAATACATCTGGAAGAAAGCAGCCAAGAAGCACATGTAACATTGATAGATGAGATATATGTATAAACACATGCACAGACAAAAATACAGATATTCATAGTAAAACTATTTTTATGTAGAACCCCACTAAACACTCGACTGCCATATAGCATAACTACAATGCAATTTCATCTATAAGTCATTCTATAGAAAAGTTAAAGCAGAGCTTCACACAAATAAAATCTTAACCCTTACAGTGGGGCTACCCCCGCCCCCCCCCCCCCGCACTGCAAAGGTTAAGTGCTCGTTTTGTCTAGGGATCTAAAATAAAAGTTATACTCACCCGAACCACGATCCTGGCTTGCTCTTAGACCACACTCTGGAGCCTTGCTGGCCCTCTGCTCCAGCGGTCTACGGTCCCGTAAGTTATCACGTTCTATACAGTGTACAGATTGTGAAGATGCTGAGAAATATTTCATTGCTGGAACAGAGGGGTAGACACGCTGGAGGGAGCGGTGTAAGAGCAAGCCCCGATTGCAGTTCGGGTGAGTATAACTTTGTTATTTTAGCTCCCTAGACAAAACGAGCACTTAACCTTGCACTGCAGTGGTAGGATTTGATTTGCCCGGAGTTGTACTTTAAATAAAACTACTACGGTACCAGGAATGTGCAACTCCTGTATGTGCCGGCTTTCCACCTGCTTGGTATTTTGCAGATCCATAGTTCATCAGCATGGTGTAAGAGAATGGTGTCTGGTACCAGGTATACAAACCAGTTTCTCTCCCATGACAAGGGATATAAAACATTAGATGGTTATATATGGCGATTTCAGCACTTTCAGATTTTAAAACAATATCCTACCCTTGAGTTGAGAGTTCTTAAGAGTTCGGAGTTTTTGGGTCAGATTGTTTTTTTTTTTTGTCCATTCTATTAACATAGTAATTGCACTTTCATAAGCCATTTATCACTGATATCTTCACCTTCAATCAAGTACACCCCTTTAAATTGTATTGTGAACAGCACAAGATACTTGCAGAAGCAGTGATTAGGTAAAACACACACACAAACCTCACCTATGTCAATGTTATCTTTTCCCAGGGCAACAAGAGACAAGAAGAGAATCTCTCTGTACAGACTCCTACAAAGCAAAGAGAAAGATTGTTATATCGGCAAAATACAATCATACACTTCCGAGAAGTCCAATGTTATTACAACACTGGGCCAGCGTTTTCCACCTCACATGGCATGCATGGGAAATGTGCCTCAAGTGCTTCTCTCTCCAGTGACTCTATTGACAAAAATAAACATATTTTTGTCACAGGTCGGCTAAAACTATGAGGTGAGTGAAAAGCACTCGCCTCATAGTTCTCCTTTAACAAAATCTGTCTCTTGAAGCTGATTAAGGGCCATTGAAAGTAATTCTTAGACATTTGGGTTATATTGTTGCCTAGAGGAGGTTGGGACCCTGGTAAACAAATCTAACCCTTGTAGAATCCTACTTCAACCCTCATGCCTCGGTTTTGTGGACAAGCAGTATGTAAGGCCAAAACATAGGGGGATGAAACCTCTGTCCCTCAATGGACTTCAAGAAAAGGATTTTACTGTAGTAACCAAAATCTTACTCCCTTTATCGTCCACTGAGTGGCACAGGAAGTAATTCTTAGAAATTTGAGAAGTCCAAAGGCAGTCTAACTGAGGGGTGGCCAATGGTAACTGAGAGATCCAACAGATATGAAAATCCAAAAAGAAAGAGTATATCTAGGGAACAACACCCAAACTAAGTTTAGACAAAGCAGGGTCAACCAATAGGGAATTGTCAAGGATGAGCATCAACCTAATGCTCAAGACTAGGACAGGTAATACCTAGAAAGGGAAAACTGCTATCTGAAAAATGATAGGCCTTAATTAACAATGTAGGGGACAACCAATTAACCACAGGAAAGAAAAACAGGTGGAAGGAAAAAGCTACCTGAACAGGAGAAAAAAAAAAAACTTGGACCAAAAGCTAAGGTGGTCAACAAGAAGATGTTTACCAGCGTAAAGGCTTAAGCCTAACATACCTCACCTTTGAATTTTGGGAAAGGAAGCTTGGAAAGACAGGGTATGTCCACAAAAGAAGACCAACCAGTCAACAGCCAGAAGCTCAAGTAGAACCTCCTAAACCCTTCACTACAGGGAGAGGGAGGTCCTTACGTGATAGACAAGTAATCACTTTAAGAGACATGCATGGATGTGAGAGCCATCTCAGCAGATAATCCAAATGGAAAGAGCAAAGAAACCCTTAAGCTTGGGAAAAAATAGAAGGGTAGCAACCCTGAATCCTTTTAAAGGAGAGGTTGAGGTTATCAACAACACCTGTATAGTTATCAACAACACCTCAGCGGGGCGGGCTTGCGATGATCGTAAGTACGATCTGTCTGTCCAAGATGGGCAGATCGTACGTTTTTTTAATTACTTTACAACCATCGCAAGACAAAGGTCTTGCGATGGTTGTAAAGTGTATGGCCACTTTAAATTGCGATGGAAAAGGACTCCCCCATGAATAGGAGTTGCGAACTGCGATGAAATTGCGAACTGCGATGGAAAAGGACTCCCCCATGAATAGGAGTGCAAGATTGAGAAATCTAATGGGATAACATTCCCATTAGGGCCATTAGGGTGGGGTGCTACCAGACAAGGAATACGAGATCCCAGGATGCAGGGATCCCAAACAAACCTGGGAAATACACAATGGGGTGCAGTAATACCAGGACTGGCAGCTAAACAATGTGCCTGATTCAAAGGATCTGGAGTGGAAGCTGCAAAAGGGAAGGCTAAGCATCCAAACTGTGTGGAGGTAAACCATCAAGAGTTCAAAGACCTCCTAGGACACTAGCAACAAAACTAAGGCATGACAGTCAGGGGCAGGGCTATACAGGAGCTGGCTTAACCTACTTTGACAGTTTTCCACCCTCCTGTAGGCAGCGGTGTAACCCAAAATCTAAGAATTACACAATTCACGTGTTCCGCAATGAGTTTAACTTTTATGCTAATTTGTTATTTACAAGCCATAGAAATAGGACGTTTTATTAGACAGACTTAATTTTCTGTAAAAGAACCAAAACCTCACGCAAAATTATTTTATCTTCTGAGCAGTGACTCTCAAATTAAAATTGAGTCACAGGTAGGAAGCATTTTCTGTTTTCTTATCAATAACTGAAAGATCTCATTTTAAAAAGGAGAACTATGGGGTCAGGGCTTTTCCCCATAGTTCTCCTAATGGTCACGGGAGAACACAAACTAGCGTTCTCCCATGACCCAAAGCTCAGTATACCGCAAGCTGTCTGAGATGCCGCAGCGGATCCCGACAATTCTGTCTAGATCCACCCAGCTGCATGAGTGACAGCTGGCTCTGCCTATCTAGAGGCAGAGCCAGCTGTATCCGCCCCCCTCCCCCGTCCGTCAGCGCTGGGGGATTGGACAGGGGAGGGGGGGAATCCCTGCAGGGAGCCGTGAGTGACAGTTACGGCTCTCTGTAGGGATAGATGGAGAAGTGAGCGGGCGACGCTATGTGTTCGCTCACTTCCCGATCTATTGAGCAGACATGTGACAGTTTCATTGTCACAGGTCGGCTCAGATTATGAGGCTGAGTTAAAATCACTCGCCTCCTAATTCTCCTTTAAGTAACATAATTTAAGCAGTCAAATGAATGCAAGCTAGTTAGCCGATATAGGTTGGGCTGCAGCTAACAATTATTTTCATAATCGATTAGTTGCCCGATTTTTTCAATTAATCGATTGGTTGCATTAAAAAAAAATGTTCTCTACAATGAGAATCGTTGCCAACTACTCTCATTATCGATTAGTTGTTGCAGCCCTAGATATAGGCTTGTTGTTCTTTTTTCAGTCACCTCTATAAATAGTACTTGCTGCCACACCACAGAATCTGCATTATAAAACAAGTAGATGCTGTCCCCTCGGCTCCACAACATAATCTGAGTATTGTAACGCCTAGTCATTCCAGTACCTTTGCCGTGTTGCTTTGTGACTGTGCTGCAGGGACTCAAGAATTTGGTTCATAGGCCCATAAACATTGTTGTTCCTGATGCTCTTCACTAGGCCTTGTAGAAACTCCTGATCAACATTTTCATCCTCCTTCTGCTGTGCAAGAGCCAGAGGATGTTCCTGGGCTGCAAACAGACACAACATCCTATTACTGTGCAGGTCACAGACAATATGAAAACAAACAATATGCAAACATAGGCTTCAAGGTGCAACAAAACCCAAAAACAATATATTATAGTGCAGCTTACCAATCCTTAGATGTGGTGGCTGCAATATTTTTCTTTCTTTATTTTTCACCTGGTAGTCCTGTGAATAACACACGTCCTGTCCTTGGGTGGCTACACTCACTCCTCTACTGTACCTATGGAGGAGGCCATGACTGCCACTCTGGCTGGATTTCAAACATGTCTACCTTTGTTTATTTCAATTAAATAGGATGGGATGTAATTAGTAGTGCATAAGAAAGATACCATTGTTTTATGCTTTCAGTTCACAGGAAGTGACGAGGACACTGTATTTTTTAAAAAGATCAGTGAGTATTTTATGTACTTGCTGAAATGTCCTTAATCTAAAAAAGAAAAGTAATGCAGCCACCACATTACAAGACTGATAAGCTGCACTATATTACATGTATATTCTCGGGTTTTGTTATGCTTGAAGTCCTGCTAAATTGATCGAAACAGGTTGTTTTACCAGCAGGTAAAACAAAACCATGACATATTAACATACCCACAGTGGGATTTAGGCAATTCATTTTCTGGTCAGAGGATCAAAGATTTGTCTAGTAATAAGTCTTACAGAACAAGTCTAATGCTCGATGTGAAGGCTTTCAGAACACTTGTGTAACAATATCACGTTGCATTGGACATAGACCATTATAAAGCAGAATTGATTGCTCCGAAGCTCCCAGTTATGGTTCATAGGATGACTTGTCTAATATAATAGATGTTGGGTGAAGAGAGGGGGATACTGGAAGGTAAATTTGTTTACAGACTGTCAACATAGAATTTATTTCATGTGTATTCCCTGAGTGGTGAATTAGAGGGAGACTCAAGTAATTATGATAATTAAAAGTGACACTAAACTCTTAAAAATACATTCATGTACCTGAACTATGAACAATAATATATCTTATTTGTGTATCACTCGGCTGTAGATCCTCAAATCATCTCTGAATTGGTGCTGACACTGTCCTTCCTTCTGGAGGGTGGCTACTTTTGGTCCCCGTGTTTGTTGTAAAGTAGTCACCGCTCCAAGCTCGCTCCTGTGATGGACTACAATCTCAATACAAATTAGTTAACTAAACATGAGATTGTAGTCCATCCCGGGAGTGAGCTTGGAGCAGTGATTACTTTACAACACACACAGGGACCATGGGTAACAAAAGTATCCCCCCTCCAGAAGGTGTACATTATTGATAATATTAACTATTAAGATTTCACTCCTGAGTTTAGTGTCACTTTAATTATACTTCCTCATCCTCTACTGAGTTACAGAGCACGGGTATATTTCATAAACCTCATTTCAGATTTTGCACAAATGAATCTCTCTCTCCAATAGTTGTTTCTGCAATTCATAAGCTCAGTTACTGACCTGGTGAGAGTGAAGAATGCTGTGTGTCTGATGGGCAGCTGTTCCCTACAATCACACACTTGCTGCAGTCAACTAGTAGTGCATAAGAAAGATACCATTGTTTTATGCTTTCAGTTCACAGGAAGTGACGAGGACACTGTATTTTTTAAAAAGATCAGTGAGTATTTTATGTACTTGCTGAAATGTCCTTAATCTAAAAAAGAAAAGTAATGCAGCCACCACATTACAAGACTGATAAGCTGCACTATATTACATGTATATTCTCGGGTTTTGTTATGCTTGAAGTCCTGCTAAATTGATCGAAACAGGTTGTTTTACCAGCAGGTAAAACAAAACCATGACATATTAACATACCCACAGTGGGATTTAGGCAATTCATTTTCTGGTCAGAGGATCAAAGATTTGTCTAGTAATAAGTCTTACAGAACAAGTCTAATGCTCGATGTGAAGGCTTTCAGAACACTTGTGTAACAATATCACGTTGCATTGGACATAGACCATTATAAAGCAGAATTGATTGCTCCGAAGCTCCCAGTTATGGTTCATAGGATGACTTGTCTAATATAATAGATGTTGGGTGAAGAGAGGGGGATACTGGAAGGTAAATTTGTTTACAGACTGTCAACATAGAATTTATTTCATGTGTATTCCCTGAGTGGTGAATTAGAGGGAGACTCAAGTAATTATGATAATTAAAAGTGACACTAAACTCTTAAAAATACATTCATGTACCTGAACTATGAACAATAATATATCTTATTTGTGTATCACTCGGCTGTAGATCCTCAAATCATCTCTGAATTGGTGCTGACACTGTCCTTCCTTCTGGAGGGTGGCTACTTTTGGTCCCCGTGTTTGTTGTAAAGTAGTCACCGCTCCAAGCTCGCTCCTGTGATGGACTACAATCTCAATACAAATTAGTTAACTAAACATGAGATTGTAGTCCATCCCGGGAGTGAGCTTGGAGCAGTGATTACTTTACAACACACACAGGGACCATGGGTAACAAAAGTATCCCCCCTCCAGAAGGTGTACATTATTGATAATATTAACTATTAAGATTTCACTCCTGAGTTTAGTGTCACTTTAATTATACTTCCTCATCCTCTACTGAGTTACAGAGCACGGGTATATTTCATAAACCTCATTTCAGATTTTGCACAAATGAATCTCTCTCTCCAATAGTTGTTTCTGCAATTCATAAGCTCAGTTACTGACCTGGTGAGAGTGAAGAATGCTGTGTGTCTGATGGGCAGCTGTTCCCTACAATCACACACTTGCTGCAGTCAACTCATTTGCTTTGATAGCTCAACAGCAAAAAAATTCACAAGACCTTCAAAACCATCACAACCTGTACAATATGTTTCCTCAAACCACTATAAGTAATGGATGTTTTTGTCCACAGACTAAAAGTTTGTATATAAAAAACAAAAAACACATTGCAAACAGCACAATAAATACACAACTCCCACATCTGGATCTCAATGCAGGTTTTCAACAGCACATGAGTATTCCTTGATCAACCATTGACTGACCCACAGGACTCATGTACGGAAATCCAGAAAACTTGAAGATCGGAGCCTGGAATACAGCAATTTATAACAGGTACAGCACTACACACATGCATGCAGCAAAGGCTTTGCCACTTACAGAACAGCAGTCCTATTACAAAAACATGACTGACAGTACAGCTTACACACTTACAAACAAATCTGCACTGCCGAGACGTGTTTTTTTTTCTTTTCCTGGTTTGCATACCCGGTCACGTTAAGGGTCAAGAATTCCAACCTCTCTGTATTAGGGAACGCTATAAAGAGTAAGCTCCAGTCACAGGAAAGGTTGAAGAGCGTCTGAACCAATAAGAGGATTGTGCAATGTGTAAGATTTAGGAACCACTTTTTTTCCCATCAAGGTTTTAGGTATTCAGGGAAAAAAACGGTGTGGTTGCTTTCTCCATTGGAATAGAGTGTCACTGGAGATATTCAGGGCAATGCTTACCATTTACAAACCCAGCAGTGAAACTAGATGTAATGTGTCATGGGCCTCGCATATGAAAGTGTGTGAATAAAGAACTATTCTGCCTTTAGCAACCAGATTCTCACTTTCAACAAATGCTAAAATGGATTTCTATGGGCAGCACAAATTGTTATTATTTCAGCCACCTTCATATACGAGGCCTAGCGAGAAGCACTGAGTGTTCGGGGTATATGTGCTCGTATCAGCAGAACAGGTAATACCACATTACTTCTCCAGGACAAAAGTAGTCATGCAAAGACAGACACAGATCACCATATAGCCAATCAAACACTGGGAACTCACTCTCATAAACTACAGTGCAGTTTTGACCTGTAGGAAATAAGATTAACAGTCATCAAACCTTGAATTCAGACAGAATCTCACTATCAGTAGAAGTCAAGTAGCAGAGAGCTTACTTAAAGTATTCCACAGAATGTAAAGTGGCTGCCGTATGTCCTGGTGAAGTTTCAGGTTGTCCCACAAGACTTGAATAAGGACATGCTTGCTGTCCTCAGATATTGAGCTCCGAGGGATCTGCCAACAATGAAAACATAGAATATTCAAAGGCAAATACCTCTCCATGATTAGTGTAAGGTATTTAAAGCAGTATTATGGTCTGGGCGTTTTTTACCTTAATGCATTCTCTGCATTAAGGTAAAAATGGCCCAGCACCTTTTTTCTCCCCCAGTCTCCACACACTTACCTGTCAGCTACGCTCGTCCCCGCCGCCGCCAGTCCAGAAACGATCCTCTGTTCCCCGAACTTCCTGGTTGCGGGGGGAGGATACTGATGGCAGAGGAGCCATAGGCTCCTTCTGCCATCAATCATAGAGAGAAAGGGTGTGGCCTGCCACAAGGCTGTGTGTGTCCATGGACACACAGCCACTGCGCGCACGGGTGCCTCCATTAGAATGATGGTGGCACCCCTACAGGGGGCGGGGGGAAGATTGCTGTGGGGACCCACTAAAAAACAAGGAATTAAAAACTTTTAAAGAAAAATGGCAACTGCCTCCAGCAAAGGTGCGTCTCCTTGTAGGAAATATTTGAGAAAAAAAAGGAGGCTTCAAAATCACTTTAAGCTGTACCCCAAGCAGATAAAAAAAGACACATAGTAATGCAGCGATGTAATCATTAATACACTCTTAAATGTATTTTTAAATGCAAGTGTGAGTACCTTACTCTGAATTTGTATCTGTCTCTTGGAAACCCTGTATAGCAAATTTTAGATAGGAGAAGGAGAAGCAGCACAAGAAGCCAAACGGGTATTGCAGTGCAAGAGGTATGCTGATAGGGAGAGCAGAGAGATACATTCATCAGTCTGCTGATTCTCCTTTTACTATCCAGTGGCAGGGTGGGCATGGGGAGAAGACCTGTAAGTGAAAATGAAACTGAACCAGAGAATGATCAAGTCCCCTCCCCTGCCTGGTAGGACTTTGCTGTGTGGCAGAGCTGTACAAGTCTCGGGACCACAAAGGTAGAAATACAAATCCTTTTGCCAGGAAATAATAGCCATATTTACCTGTGTATTAAGTAGTTTGTCTGGAGTTCAGCTTTAAGCATTCCTGTATAACATAACAGTAAAAGTGGCACTTCTGCCTTGCAGCACTGGGGGTCCCTGGTTCAAATCCTGGTCAGGACACTACCTGCAACGAGTTTGCATGTTCTCTTTGTGCTGGCGTGGATTTCCTTATGGTACTCCGGTTTCCCCCCACACTCTTAGTATACCTTTGTAGGTTAATTGGCTCCTCTCTAAATTTGCCCTGTATGTATGTATGTATGTGAGATAGGAACGTTAGATTGTAAGCTCCTTGAGGACGGAGACTGATGTGAATGTGCACTGGGTAATTGTTCGAAACCATACATTACTGTCTCTGTCACCACCTCAGAACTTTAGCATTCCCTGCTACTACTGAAATATATACCACAGCCGCCATTCTCTAGGAGAGTTGGATAGAAACAGGCATGTGTTTTGTATCGCCAACTGTGGCTGCCACCACATAAAATGAGACTGTCACATGATCTGAAGTACTCGTTCAGGTTAGCCACATGTATGAGACGATGGTTGAATATGATGCCCAAATTGACCACCTGTTTTTTTTTTTTACAAATTGTACTTGTTGGTGCATGGTATTGTCATGGTGGGGATCTTGCAGACATCCTTAATGCATATTTCTAATGAAAAAATAGGGATTCAAAAATAAACCCAGAAGGTCAACTATTCTACTGCTGGAACTCACACCATAAAAAAGTCACTCAGTGACAATCATCTTATGTCTCTGGTTACGTGTGCACAACAAATGTGACACATTGTGCTGAACAAGAACATTGTGATGATTTGGCTGCATACAGCTATTTGTCCTCAGCAGTTTGCTGTCTCTGTCAAAACCAGGGCAGAGAAATAGACATTTTGACAGTCTGAGCAGTAACAGCTGGTTTATTCCCATCAGCTTTGAGAATTGAGGATAACCTGATAATCAATGATATGAAGACTGGTTACATAAGGTGCTCAAAATTAAAAGCACGATAAAACCTTCACTAAACCAGTTTATCAGACCGCGATTTGATTTTCTGCTTCCTTCTATAGTAAATGCAATCTCAGCTTGCAACAATAGAAAAAAAAAAAAAAAAGGATTTCTCTGCAATAAATTTTGACCTGCGAAACTAGTAAACTAAGCCACCCACCAACACACTGTAGATTGGACAGCAGTACTTGGATCCTGATTTTTACCTACCTTTGAATGCTTGTTACAATGTTCAGAGGACAGAATTAAACCAGGCAGGTTGCTGGGAAGGTCCAGTCTCCGGAAAAACCACACCAAATTCCAGAAAACTATAGGGTGATGATCCACAAAGCCTGGAACTGTAATGGATGGGTCACCCTCATTCTCTAGTAAGCTTTCCAGTTCTTTCCACACTACAAGAGGGCTGAGGTAAGGAACAGTAATTGGCTCAGGATGCGACATCCTCCAGTCAAGCTCTAATGAGTCCTGTGATCAATAACAGAAAATAACGGAAGGTGGAAATGAAGACAAATCCAGAGGCTGAATCTAGTATAATATGGTGCCAAACACACCATAGATTTTATTCTTTAACATTTATTCATTGATCTTAATATTCCTTCTGCTGTGTACTATAAATTAGGAGAAGTTACTGTACTATGCTGGAACACTCATCAGTAGCTGATGAAAACCTCACATTAAATGCATGCCAAACATCATTAGTGTATGTGAACCTAAAAAAAATGACTAAAAGTTATATTAAGTCAAAAGGTTTTTGAAGCTATTTCAAATACTGATTCTATCATTCTCAATGAATGCTGCTCCTGGATGTTTAAAAGTTTTTGCTTTCTGCAGAATCAGCTGGTCCCCTGAGCACTGGCCCGGATATCCTGTTTTAGGGTGGCTTCTTTCCCTTGCATGGTCCTATGGAGCCACCCTTGTGTGTGCTAGTAAGCTAAGTGTGTCTCCACAAATACACAGGCACAGCAGATGAAGTCCCTCCCCTCTACCCGCTTCTGCCTTATCCATGCTAGAAGTACAGCTTCTGGAGACTGTGCTCTATTTGGTTCATCTAGATTCATTATTGAAAAAAGTTTTAGAGTTTAATACTACTTTTAACCCAATTGTATGCTTTATCTAATGTGGCTGCCAAAAAATACCTATTGAGCCTGCCAATCTCCAGATGTTTGCCCTGCTTCCTTTTTGTTAATGACCACGCTACCCCCGAGATGAGATCTGAGATAGCAGTGTGCAGTAAATACTGAGTATGTACCATATTACTTACAGTGGGTGTCTCAAAGTTAGTAGGTAGACTGCCTGTGGAAACATGGCTCAGATTGCAAGATGGCTTCTCATCCAAAGTGCTGAATGTACTGACACTTCTCACTACAGGAAGACTAGGAGTGCTTGATTCACTTGGATCTGTCTTCCTCTTCCCAGTCGGTATATTTATAGTTCTGGTATTTGAGTCCTCTAGTTTTCCTTTGCTACAAGAGTAAAACATTAGACTTAGGTGAATACAGCTGCGAATAATGGTACACAGTTTGCAAGATAAACAATAGATGCAAGATGCTCAGAAACGTTCTTAATGTTCAGAAGACTTGAATAACCAGGAAAAAAACAAGACAACACCATTAATTACCTGGATGGAGTGACCAAATAAGCGGGGGGGATAATTGCAGACTTTGGCCTCTGACAACCTGAAGGGTGCATGCTGTCTGTGGATGGACTGACTTTTAAGAAGTACCTGTTACAGACATAGAAAAGATCATACATCTGAAAGTCAAGGATTGGGCATTTGTCTTATAAACATACTCTGAAATAATGAACACGTATACCATGGCTGTACATGAAAGCAGCTCGTTGCTGCGCGTAAGCAGAAAGCCTGAGAACACTGACAAAATTGAGCTGCATGCAGTAAGCTTTGACAGATAAATTAAATGGATCAATTTGGTATTTTACATTTACAATGCTAATATTAACCCCTTAGTGACCAGTGACGTCCATAGTACATCACTGGCACCGCGCCCGTTTAAACAGACTGTTGGCTTTACAATAAAAGCGATTCTGGCGACTCAGCTGTATATTACACACATTTATTTATTACAGGTATATTATATAGCGCCGACAATTTACACAGTGCTTATATACTTCACATCAGTCCCTGCCCTCAAGGAGCTTACAAACTAAGGTCCCCATCTCACATGCATTCAGGGCCATTTTAGAGAGGAGACAATTAACCTTCCAGCATTTTTTTGGAGTGTGGGAGGAAACGGGAGTACCCAGAGGAAACCCACGCAGGCACAGGGAGAACATGCAAACTCCTTGCAGATAGTGTCCTGACCGGGATTTGCAGTACTGGGACCCCAGTGCTGCAAGGCAAAAGTGCTAACTGCTAAGCCACAGTGCTGCCCCTATTTAATCATATGCTCAGCTCTATAATAAACTTTTTTTTTTTTTATTACAATGAACATATGACTTGGTAAGCCAAACTTTGTGCTACACAAATCTAAAACTATTTATACATATCTATCCTGATTGGCCGGGAAGCCGACTCCATGCTGTTCGGCTAGCTTGATGCTGATTGGCTGGGAAGCCGGCTTCCCGGCCAATCAGCATGGAGCCAGCCAAACACCATGGAGCCAGCTTCCCGGGCATTCAAGAAGCCTAGCGGCATGGCACTATTCACCACCCATCTTCTTAATTGCCCGGGAAGCCGTCTCCATGCCAGCCGAAGTACTGTTATCGGTACTCTGTATTGGCGAGTACCGAAATATAAATATCGGTACTTGTACGTGATACCGAAAGACTGATATTGGTGAATCTCTCTCTATATGTGCATCTGATTCAAATTAATTCAAATAATTTCATTGTATAACTAACTGATAAATGTCTATCAGGAAAGTTGCTCACATTTGTGGAGATCTTATGCTCTTTAGTACAAAATATTTAAAATGTCATAAGCTATGTCATCTGGATAATGTAATGATCCTTACCTGCCAGGGCAGCGCAGGTCTCTAATTTCAATGTTCAGGAATGGGAGGAAGGCGCTCCCACAGAAGGGACATGTGGTGTTCAGATTTGAATCATCTGCTGTCCAGCCAGCCATAATCTCCTCCTCATGGACCAGACAATCACAGGTCAGACACCGGGAGCAGCTGGAGATTAGTACCTGTTATGGGAAATACAGCTCTAAGTGTATACTGCTTATAGCCAATACAATTTACAGGCAGCATGACAGATTATATTTATACAATGTGAAGTCCTAACAAAGACTGGGGCCAAGAGCCCATAAAGAGTCAAGGAACACCAAAATGAAATACAGTAGGTCAGCTTGTTATATGGAGAATTCCTCTTGTCCAGATATCTTTCACCTTTTAAAAGAAACATCACATCACCAGTATCTAAATGAGAATAGTTATTACATCCTGTGTTTTGGTAGCAGCTGGAGCAGCAGAACAGCATGTGTGAATCTTATAAGTTCCACACAGTCTAAAACTGAGGAATGTATGTTTTGGGGCCTTTTTTTCTGCGACAGCCTATTCAAATTTTGAACTCACATTTTTCCTCTTGCAGAAAGATGATAAAAAAATAAATAATGTACCTCCATAGCATAGTTCTGGAAGACACTAGTGCTACTAGAACTGCAGGAAGATAAAATCTCAGACTTGTAGTTCTGCGATGTCCTGGAAGGGGAACCTAGGATCAGAAGGCGAGATTAATCAGTGTAATTGTGTTTTATCCTATCCAAGACTCCACTAGCCATCCTTGTTACTATAACCTCACCACTGTGGTAGAGCTGCTTAGAGGCTCCCTCTTGTGAGGTGTTGCTTTCCAGGCTGGTCCTACTCATTCCCACTGAGTTGTTACCAGTAGCAAGATCATTGTCACGAGGAGAGGTGATGCCTTCAAAGTCATCTTCATTGATGGAGCAGGATTCTACATCTCCAGCACCACCTGAAGAAAGGCTCGCTCTGTCAGAATTCTGATCCTGCAGAACATAGAGCTTATAATGAGACACAAGGCTATTGTCCCTAATGTAAAAGGGCAGACACATCAGATATATTTATAACAATGCCGTTCAAGAATTTAGGACGACCTAGAAGCTGTCTAGTAGTACATATAGAAAAATACAACATCTTTCAATCCTGCAGTGAAATGGCTACACACAAGAAAACCTGTAAAACTATTACATAACTAACATTCACTTGGAACAATAAGGTATTGATATATCTCCAAGTTGCAGTATATTCCAGGAGAAATCTAAAGTAACCTTGAGCTGCTCATAAGAAAAAAGTGTTTCTTTAAACTATATAGAGAATAAAACCCACAGTTTACAGAACTCACTTTTATGGGTCCAGCATAGTTAGTGATCTTTGAGTACCACTTTGTGGCTTTCTCAGCAACACCTTTTCCAGCAGAGAACATACTGGTCTTCAACACATCCAGCTTAGGTGTGAGGAGTGTATCAAAGTTAAAGGATGTTGGAGACATCAAGGCTAGAGCAGAGTCTGGAGGTTGTTCTGCTTGTGGACTGCTGGTAGCATATCCTGGAGAGGACCAAAGTCGACCTCGGTGTCGCTCCTTTGAGTGGTAAGTTTTTGACTTTATTAATGTAGGTGCTTGTAGGGGTGTTGAGGGGAGGCTGGACCGCCGGCAGAGTGGTATAGATTTAGAGCTTTTGTACTGTTCAGAAGCATTTCTTTGTAAGTCCATGCTGGGGGCTCTGCTAGTCAATGGGCTGCTCATATTCATGTACATCTCTATTTCCTCTGCTAGGTCCCTCTTAGCAGATGGTGTTAGAAGACCTTTGTTGTCCACTAACTCCTCAGTTTCCTCTTCCTGGCCATTTTCAGCTGCCAGCATTGATAGAGGATCGAATCCAACTTTTACATCTGTCTTTTCCACAGACTTGGCAACAAACGTTGATGCAGATGAGTTTGTACTTATGCTCCTCTCTCTTAACTGTGCCTTTGGTTCACTTGTTTTGACTTGCTTGTTTTCAACAGTGTCATTGTCCAGATCTTCCAAGTCAAAAATCACTGGGGAATCTACTTTGTCATTGTACTCTTCCTCTCCAACTGGAGAGTCATCGTCACTCCACTGCTTGTCCACACTTGTAAGATCCTTGTTTAGAGAGCTGCTCTTAATGTCCAAGGTCTTTGGCCGAGGGATAGTCTTTTTGAAAGCCCCACTAAGTATTTTTGCATCAGCACCCAATTTATCCAGCATTTTTCCTGACTCGGTTTCTCCTGAATTCCCACCGACCATTAGCACAGCAAGATTTTCTCCACTGTAGTTCCTATTCCTGGATTCCCATTCTGACGGACTTTTCAAAGTAGGTTCCATTGCACTCTTGTGTCGTCTTCGTAAACTCCAGCTTTGGTATATTTCAGGTTGTTTAGTGTTCTCAAAGCACGGTGCAAAGAGAAGACCTGCTGGGTTACCTGAAATGAAGACAGAAAATGTTGGATCTCATAGGTGTATTTAGGCAGCAGGTTTGTCTCATCCTACAAAGTAAACAGTAGGGGCCATGGCAAACTTGTGCTCTCCCAAACTCTATACTGTGAGTCTGTTACTGGCTACAACATGCCAGTGCTAGGATTGCTATGAGGGCAGATAAAAACTTAAAAGCAGTTCGCTCTAGTTGGCCAGATAAGTGAGGTGTCACTCATTCACTGGAGAGGGCGATTATGCAGCATTCCCCGCCAGTGAGAGAGCGACACATTGCTCATCTGGACAGCAACGGAGCACCACTGTGGAAAAAGGTGAGTATTTGGTCTCTCTCTAGAGAGAGATAGGGAGAGGGAGGTGTACTTAAAAATTAAACACGTTATGACAGAAACATGGATCCTGCCACTGCTGACATCTGAAAAAAAACTACATGCCTGGCTGTTACATCAACTCAGTTGCTTTAATACTTTGAGTCACTAATCCAGCAACATGTATGAAGTTAAGAACATCTGACTTTTTGCTGACTTTCCTGATGTGCATACCTGCTCATTGTCAGTGAATCGGAGTATTAAATCCAGCAAATCAGCAAAACAGAGATTTTAGCCACCAGATGGAACACTTTTAATGTCCTGAATTGCTTACAGTGTACGAAAGCAAGTTACTCATTGTCGGCTATGAAAACAAAATGTTCCTAACAGGTTATGGGAAAACAAAGTCACCATCTCAAGATTCAGGTTTAAGCCTGATCATATATTGGTCGGATGGTACCTAAAAAGCAAACCTGATGAATTACATCACAGATAAATCTGTTGCTCAGGCCTTTAAAGCCTGTGTTTAATCAGATAAACAATATAATACTTCAAGGTCTACTCACCGGCTACAACCGTATCAGCCGCGCTGTCTGCTTTGCCGTCTTTTCGAACTATATTTGAAGGTTTGGTGACTTTTTCAGAAACAGGACATGGCAACTGTGGGAGACCATCTCTACTGCCCTTAGAGCTCTCTGATTCAGACACTGAGTATAAAACAGATTAGAGAAGATACTTTACAAGACATTCTTCAAGAAAGACACTTTACAAGACATTCTTCAAGAAAGACACATCACTAATTTAGTACTCAATAAATGTAGTGCAGTCCCGTGAAGACCCACCTCTCCACTCCTGCCTCTGGTCTTTCAGCTTGAATGAAACCCTGTGTCATCATACCCATTTCCTGTGAGCCCATGGTGTTCTGGACCTACGTCTCAGGGGGAAATCATTGCACCACCCTGGGCTCAAAGTACCGTTTCACAGAACAGCACTCCCACATTACGTAAGGGCAGTTCTGCACACCACCGGAGGGAATAGAAGCCTCTGGGATTAAAATAGATTAGACCACATGCAAATATGAACTATAGGAACAGCAGACAATATACTTGCAATGGAGTATCCCAGTACTAGGAATTCAGTACTATATCCAAACTACAAAAGCAATAATAAAATATATCAATAGATCTGACTTCTCTACTAGATTGCTATAAAAGAGGACACTATGCTCATGTGGATGTTATATTACACCCACAGATGTCTGCAGTGAATTTACTTTTAAGAGGAAGGTAGAAGAGGCAGGAGACCCTAGAATGATCTTGATGTGGGGCTCAATAATATGAATCTACATTCCTGGGTAAGTGGAATAAAGATATGACTGGCTTGGCAAGGGAGTTTATAGGGGGTGAAAAAAGTAACACACACACACACACACACACACACACACACGTTCGCTCGTTTCTTCTCTACAGTGTGTACTCAAAACTAGGGATGCACCGATACCACTTTAAGACCGAGTACTGATACTTTTGATCAAGTACTTGCAGATACCAATTACCGATACTTTTTCTTAAAGGGACAGGTCACATTTTTTCTAAAGCAATACAAACTAATGCTTTAAGGTCACTTTCTTGATATTATGATTCATGAGATGACGAGGGAGCATGACGCCGGCCTCCCAGCCAATCAGAATGCCGGGCACTGCGTCATTACACGGCGCCCGGCTTCTGGATTTGCTAGCTTCCTGGAGCCGTTACCTGGCCAATCAGGAAACCGGGCAGCGTGTAATGATGCGCTGCCTGGCTTTTTGATACAGAAGTATTCGTGCTAGGTATCGGAGCATTTGGGCGAGTACGAGTACTCACCCAAACACTCGGTATCGGCGCATCCCTACTCAAAACAGAGGAAAAGTTTATTGCTCCCACTGGCAGGATACTCTTAACTACCTTCCGTCCATGACCGTTTGTGAACGGCCGGACGGACGTCTGCTAGGAGCGGGAGGGCGTCTTGAGACGTCCTGCCCCTCCCCCTTCTCATGTGCGGCACTCAGCGCGCACACGAGAGGGAAAACGGTAAGCATGTAAACAGCCAGCGATGGCTGTTTACATACAAGCGATCAGGCGTCTCTAGAGACGCCCGATCGCTTGCAGGAGCTGCGGGTGTGCGCCGCCCCCCACACCTTTGTCTGCTCGTCGCCACTGCCGGTCTCGCAATTTTAAAGGTTGACATGTTTAGTGTCTATTTACCCGACGTGACCCTGTCTTTTATATTATACCAAAAAATTGGGGTGAAAATAAATGTTTCATAACATTTTACAGGGAAACATGGTTTTTTTTCAAAATTTAGGGTACTTTTTTGTTATATAGTAAAAAATAAAAACCCCAGTGGTGATTAAATACCACTAAAAGAAAGCTCTATCTGTCCCCAAAAAATGGTATAAAATTCATTTCAGTACAGCGTTGCATGACGGAATAAACATCAGTCAAAGTACCGCAGCGCTGAATACTGAAAAATGGCCTGGCCAGGAAGGGGGTGAAACACCATGGCCTTTAAGTGGTTAATATATCTATTTCCAATCTATTAGCAAATAGTGCTGTGGGACAGAAGATGACAAGAGCAATATGTGACATCACAGGGACAGTCTGCACTGTGATTTACCATTTTGCCACACTCGCCTTTCTTGCTATGGGCAAGCAGGTTGATTGACCAGCTACTTAGAATTAAAAGAGAGTGTTTCCAATCAAGTATTAAGTGCAGAGATTTCTGCTTTGAGAGCTAAACACATTTTGAAATGGCAGAAATGTAAAGGAAACCTGTATTGAGAAATAGAGTGAAAAATATATAAAGATTTAATTTTAAACATGTATTAGATATTACATTTTTATTCAGTTTTATTTTAAACATCAAAAGAAAAATATTAATAAACCTTCTCTTTAACTGAAGCAAACATCTTACTGGGAGGAAAGTTTTAGAACAACATCTCTTACTTTTATCATGGGAAAACCCCTTTTTTTCCCACTGACTTACAATACAGAAATGCTTCCCATAAACCTTCATTGATTTCCTGACTTATGCGGGAGCTCAATAATGGATGATTGTTGCTGGTATAGATGTAGCAATGTCTGCAGAAAGTTACTATTAAACTATAAAAAGCTGCCTAAAATACAGCTGATTTGCATAGTAGCAATTTTATTTAGGTACTTACATGAGCTAGAGTCACTCCCTCGAGATTCTTCCTGTTCCTCTTGTATATCATGTACAGCCCCCCTGCGAACTTCCTCTTTGGACAATGAACTGTATCCCAAATCTGATTGACCACCTAATACAAGCAAAACATGTTAGCAATAGCGTGCATGGTATTTCAAATAAGATATAAATATATTAAAGATTTGTTGGATTTAAAATGAGGATTTCTATACAGACACACAAAAATGTATAAACGACCCATTATTGTTCTTTACACACTTTGCAAAAAATAAAAATGATAATATACCTGTTTGGTCATATAACCAAAAAGTGATATTTCATGCATTAGTGCAGTGATCGTCGTCACCAACATGCTTCTTACATCTCTGGGGGACTACAAGGGCAAGACAGCTTTGTCTCTTCTCACCTTTGAGTAATACTACTGCTAAAAAACAGGGCTCTTTATTTTAACTGGAGTTGCAATAATTTAATATAAAATAAATAACCCTCCAGAGAGAGCAAGAACCTTTTCTGCAAATATGTGGTAGTGATGAGCCTGGGCTTGGTGCGAACCCAATTCCCCTGAGTGCCCCGCTGCAACTGCCACTGCAGACTGGGCCGGGGAGGGGGGAGTAGTGGTCAGCTTTGAGCAGGCTTGGGCAAACACAGGCAAACTGGGTTTGCAACAAGCCCTGGCTGACATTTAGTGTATAGGTCTGGAAACTTATGTGCAGGCATGTTACCACCAGGGTCTCAGAGCGACTTAAGAAATCATTAGATGGTTGAACACTCCAGTAACATAAATATTTATTTCTGGTCAGGTAATTTAGTGTGATACAGTATAACGCCTCGCCTCACGGGAGGTACACTTATGGATCACAACTGCGGAGTCTGGACGGGATTCAGATAGCAGCTAGGTCTCTAGTGCCTTGTAATGGAATAAGAGGATAGATAAGGGAGTCCTCCGCACACCTTGCAGCAGTCCGGGCCTGTACAGAAGATGGTGCTTGCAGTGATAGTCACAGATGGCACCGTGCAAATACAATGTGTAAACAAAAATTACCAGCACTCAGCAAAATAATTCAACATGTCCATTTATTGGACATAGACCTCACAAAAAAACAAGAGCCAACATTTCGAGACCACACAGGGTCTCTTCCTCAGGGCAGAAAGACGTGCTCTGAGGAAGAGACCTTGTGTGGTCTCAAAACGTTGGCTCTTGTTTTTTGTGACGTCTATGTCCAATAAATGGCCATGTTTAATTATTTTGCTGAGTGCTGGTGATTTTTGTTTCCACATTGTAATGGAATAAGGCGGAGAGCGAGCTGCGTCACATCATACCCTGTATAGGTAAGACACAACAACAGACTGCGCTGAGGAGGTGAGTACTGGGATAATGGTGAGCCCTGGTTGGTACAGTGGGGGTTAACAGCAGATATTAGCCACACAAAGCAGTATCACTCCACAGTCTATGTAGTTCAGCAATATCAAGTATCATTAATACAGAGTCAATTTGAGTTTAGCAGAGGTGAGTGCAATAGATGCAGAGTCTATGCAGTTCATCAAAACACAAGTACTATTTGCAGAGTCAAATGGAGTTAGTAATGGTAAGTGCTATAAATGCAGAGTCTATGCAGTTCAGCAGTAACAAGTGCTATCAAATGCAATTCAATGGAATCAGCAACATTCAATGTGTCCTGGCGTCATAGGTACTTTGACCCAGGTACTTGCGGTTTTGTAGGAGACAGTGTGTCCAGGGCGTCCAAATAGAGATGGCTCTGTTCGCAGAAGTCAGGGGTCCAATTGTGAGGCGAAGGAACTCTGTTTATCAGCGTCCTGCTACAATCGACAGTAGGACGCTGATCAATTAGTGAGCCGCGGCTTTAGGCCGACGGCTCAAGCGAGAGGAGGCGGAGCCCCGCGGCGCACCTGTGCAGGACGATGACCGAGCCTGAGAGATAAGAGCAGAGCCCCGCGGCGTGCCTGTGCAGGACGAGGACCGAGCCTGAGAGATAGGGGCGGAGCGCCTGCGCAGGACAGCGACGGACTGCGCCGCTGGACCGCAATAGGGTACGTCTGTCACATACAGCAGCTGTACATGACATTCTCAGCTGCCTTCTTTAAGATTTTGTGTAGTCAGTGCCAACCGCTATCCTTTCAATTTACCAAATTTTACAACTTTTCAATTTTGCCGAAACTTACTTACAAAAAGCCAATGCTCCCTAACAATTACAGATAGCACCTAACTTCTGAGATTTTCTCTAGTTGTTGTCAGTGAAGCTGACTCCTTAAAAAAAAAAATAATAATTCTTCCGCTGGCTCCCCCTTTGGACAAACTGGATTCTGAATTCCAGATTAATTTGTCCACCCGTTTTACATCTTACATGGCACTACAAATGTACCCAATAACAGTGCAGTCTGTTTGGTGTTATATTTTGTGACTTATTTGACTCATTTACTTGTATTTTGCTTGAACTAGACAGCTCAGTGACCGTAGGAACAGCAATCTTTGCTTCACATGTACATAGCTGCCCCATTAGATATAACAACCTTTACAAATTGGATACCACTAGAGTGTCTTGCAACAAGCAATTTGGGGGTTATGTGTAGACGGTGTTTTATTTTTTCAGTCCTTTTTTTCCCCCTCTTTCAGAGTATCCCAGTCAGGACACTATCTGCAAGGAGTTTGCATGTTCTCCCTGTGCTTGTTTGGGTTTCCTCCGGGGACTCAGGTTTCCTTCCACACTCCAAAGACATGCTGGAAGGATAATTGGCTCCTCTCTAAATTGTTCCTGTAGGTATACATGTGAGATAGGGACCTTAGAATGTAAGCTCTTAGAGGGCAGGGACCGATGTGAATGTGCAACTATGTAAAACGCTGTGTAAATGGTCGATATATAAATACTTGTAATTAAAATAAAACAAAAAAACAAACCTGTACTGGATCTGTCATCTGCAGCGTCGGCACTGGTTACATCTGTACTGAATGACGGTTGCTCTGTGGGGTTCATGTCAATAGAGCTGTCCATACTTCCATGGCTGACTGCATCCAGGTCACTGCCATCTTAGGAAAAAAAGAGACAGAAAAGAGCTAATTAAAAGGAGAATTATGAGGTGAGTGATTTTTACTCAGCCTCATAAATCTGAGCCGACCTGTGTCAATGAAACGGTCACAGGACGGCTCAGTAGATCGGGAAGTAAGCATACACATACCGTCGCTTGCTCACTTCTCTATCTATCCCTGCAGAGAGCTGTGACTCTCACTCACGACTCCCTGCAGGGATTCCCCCCTCCCCTGTCCGATCCTCCAGCACTGACTGGCGGAACGGCCAGGGGAGGGGGCGGGCACAGCTGGCTCTGCCTCTGGATAGGCAGAGCAAGCTGTGTCGGGATCCGTTCCGGCTGCGGCGTCTCAGTATATCGCGAGCTGCAGCTGAGTATGCTGAGTTTTGGGTCACGGGAGGACGCTAGTTTGTGTTCTCCCATGACCCTTAGGAGAACTATGGGGAAAAGGCCTGGCCCCATAGTTCTCCTTTAAGATCGGTAACTCTGAACTATCCAGGTTTATTTGTACACAAACAAGCTATTAAAATGTAACACAGAAATGAAGGATTGGGTGTATTTTACATTCTTGTATTCCATTGAACAGTCTGCAAATAAATAAATACCTGAAAGTGTTGTATGGGGCGCCAAGGAATGTTGCTTTTTCAAGGCTCTTTTAAATTGGGCAACTCCATGAAGTACATTCCTGACCTTTATCCACAGGAAATAACCCCCTCGATTCCCAGAAGGCCATACACTTTCCAGAACAGCCTGTACAGGAACAGTTTGAGAACATATTTGGAAACATTTGTTGGCAGTTTGTATTCGCTACATCTGACGTGGGGGGAAGGGGAGGTTACAAAATGAGACACTTTTGGGAAAATATGACAAAATAACCAACAGCTTTTGGTCCATTGCAAGTCAATCTGGTCTGAAACTGAGGAAGCATAAATACCCAGGTGTTAAACATACGGTTCCTCCAAGTAATCTACAAGTTAAAAGCAATTCATAAAACTCATCCAGGACCCTGCATTGAAGTTTACAACAGCTGGGAAGGTCAGGGTTCTTGTGTGTGAATGTTTCATTTCCAAACCTTAGACATCTTTTGAAAGATTTTATTCTGACATGGAAATATATTTTTTTTTTATACAAAATACCTTTATTTAACATTTCATTTTGGAAGGAAACATTTATAGACTGGGTTACAGAAAAGTAGCAGCTTGCTACGATGTCGTGGATTTAGGGCCATTTACCTTATTATAGTAACCGTAGGTGATTGCGTTCGGATGGACTCCGGCTTTCTTCATTTCAAACAGTACTTTGACAGCGAGGACGGGCTGCCCATACTGGCCACATAACTGCATAAGAACACGGTAGCAGACCTGCCACACACACAAATATGTAAAAAAAAAACACAATAAGAATGTTGTCTGTAAGTTGCAGGTGTACAAAAAAAAAACCTAGAATAACAACAAAATAAGACAAAACACACTAACGATGCACAACCATGTTTAGTTACTTGTCCATCTGTAACATGGCCAAATAGACAGATCTGCCCCCGAGACACAAATGGGGTTTTTTGCCTTTCTTTTTTTTCAACATTAACATTTTTGTAGGCAGACAGTAGTGCACTCTTAAGCTGGCCATACACTGCTTACTTTTCAGCCAAGTCCTGCCCTGCCGACACCACTCCATTCAACAAAAGTAGATTTTTCAGTCAATTAATTTAAGTCAAGAAGAACCGTGGGCAACATTTTTATTAACCCTTGTAGTGGGGCTACCCCCGCACTGCAAGGGTTAACTGCTCATTTGTGTCTGTAAAATAAAGTTATACTTACCAGATCCTCTGAGCCAGACCGGCTCTTAGACCGGTCCTTCCAGCTGCACTCCCCCTCCGCTGCAGCGGCCTAAGGGCCGGTTCACACTACAAACTCAGCGTTCCAGTGCGTTCGGCCTCTGAATTGAAAGCCGGCCGGCTCCCTGCGTTCAGGGGCGTGGCAGTGCAATGAAGTCAATGGCACCGCAGCCACACGTTCGCCCACACCCGGAGCCGAGGCACATTAGTGCTTGTGTTCCGGTCCAGTGCGATCTGCAAAAATAGTGCCTGTGCTCCGGGTGTGGGCGAACGTGTGGCTGCGGTGCCATTGAGTTCAATGCACTGCCATGCCTCCTCCCGCTCCTGAACACAGGGAGTCGGCCGGCTTGCGTTCCAGAGGCCGAACGCACTGGAATGCGGGGCTTGTGGTGTGAACCTTGAGTCATCCCGTTCAATACACTGTGAGAGACATACCATCATTGCAGCATAGGAGGAGAGAGGCTGGAGGGAGTGCTGTGACAGCTGGCCGGCTCCAAGGTTTGGGTGAGTAACTTTTTTATTTAGTCCCTAAACAAACGAGCAGTTATCCCTTATAGTGCAGGGGTAGCCCAACTCCAAGGGTTAATAAAAATGTTGCCCTGCTTTAAGAAGCCTGCTTGAAAATGGTCAGTTGAACAGTGACTGCAGCCAAATCAGCAGAAGTCACTGTTGGGATATTCTGACAGCTGCAAGTGCAGAAATCAAGTGTTTTATCCTATTCACCCAGTGGCTCGTTTATAGCCAGCTTTAATTTAGTAGTGAAAATAACACCAGGAGGGTAGGTGAGGTAGATGCTCTACTAGGCTTTGCTGATCATCCAGGTTCCAGCATCTTTCAGCAGCTTTGAGTTTGCTGCCTAACCTAGTTCAGTGCTGTTTGCTTGTCACCGTGACAGTGCTGGCACCTTAGTCTGCAGATGCTTTGTGAGCACCCGAGGCCCTTGGCAGGTGGTTCTTACCCCTTCAAAGTACCCTGCAAAAGCCAGGTCTAATAGTGTGTATTGAGCCAAATGGCTGACTTTACATATCGTGGTTGGGGTGCTGTAACTGCACAAATACTACCTGTAGCATTTAGACCAGAGCTACCCATTGATTTTAGACCAGAGCTGCCTATCGATTGATTTTCTAACCATAGACAGAGCACTGGCTGGAAATACACAGTGCGCCGAACACTCCTCTGCAACAAGCACATTGCAAATGTGGCCTAAGTGACCCTAAATTCTACCTGCCCACCTTACCAATCAATTCTTTGTCCTTACATAATGGTAGGTTTATTGATATATTTTAGACATACAGCAGTATTTACTAGTGAGTTGATTTTTCTTTGTACCAGTCACAAATCTTTTATATTTTCTTAAAGGTTGCACATAAAACTACAACATTATGCGAAGTGTTAGATATACAGTACATGCAGTATCAGGGTCACTCTTTCCTTACCTCATCGGGGGAGTCGATTTTCTTGACATGCATCTTCCGCAGAACATCATAGGCAGTGCGCAGTGCTCTCACTTTGGAGTGGCAGACTTTAACATATGCAGGGAGGCAGATGAACCACAAGCCATAACAATGCCTCAGCAAACATCTGGACCACATTTGGGGGATGGTTGAATACTGTTTGGCTATTTTGTGAGCCGACCGGATCTCCTGCAAAAGGTTAAAACAACAGCTATTTCATCCTTACAAAAACTTAAAACAGGACCACCCAAATCTGACTGGCTCACTCATGAAAAGCTGTACAGAGATAAAAGCGAAGGTGTTTGCTCACAGCAGCCAATTGTTACTGGCTGCTGCAACTGAATTGTTGCTTTTTTAATGTAAATCCAAAAATGAAATCAAGTAACTACTATGGGCAAACTACTGATTTTCTTTTCAACTAGTTCCAGGAAATGTCAGTATGCAGTTGGGTTAAAGTGTACCAGTCATAAACTCGTGCCATTACCTTCATTAGACAAATATCTCTTCCCTGCCCCTCGCTGATTTAGTTCTACTCTGTAACTGTGGCTTGACTTTTTCTGATTGATGCCTAAGCTTCACCAGTTCCCATACCCCTGAATGACAAGCCTGTCCTTCCTGACCACTTTACAGAGAATTGCCATTTAAAGTCGGGAAAAGTCAGACTACGAAAACAAAGCAAAAACCAAAATCTGAGAGGGGCTAATAATAGGAATACTGGGCAAAGTATGGTGCCTGGTCTTAGAACTGTTAAAAGTTATAAAATAGCAGTACAGGTTCACTTTAAAAAATATTTTCTCGAGGTTACATTATTAAATCTCCACATAAAACCCATCAACAACTGTGTCAGATTTTCAAACTTAAGGGGCAAATTAGCAAATTTTGAAAACCAATAACCAAGAAAAAGGTGTTGTCTGTGCCAAGCTAATTTAAGACTATTGGAATAAATTCCCCAGTGGTTTTTAGTAGCTTTGCCCAAACTCTTCTTGGAAGAAAAAAAAACCTGTTGCACTAGACTTTTCCTCTAAATAATCTAGCTTGGCCCTACCAGTCCCACCTCCTGAGCAAACGATCGGTCATTCATTGCGATGACCAACAGGGCATTTAGGGCAAAGTCAGAACCAAGCTTGACTTTTGAAGGAAATGTCAAGATTTGCATATAAATTCATCTGTCTTTATCGCTGGATCTACGGATTATTTTGATACAAGCTTTGCCTATGCATTTTTATCATTTGCTTATATTAAATTAGAGTTCAGTTACCCTTTCAAGGAATATAACATGATTGTTACACCTCATTCATTCACCAATTCTGGAATACAGTGCTGAAGCATCAATTGACTAAGCAAATTCTTTGTGTTTTCTGCAGAAGTCACTAAAATAAAATTTTCATTTATTTAAAAAAAATTAAAATGTGTTTGATTGATATTTTACCTGTTTTGTTCTCCTGAACATTGGAGACGGACTGCTGGGAGCTGAGACTTTGGGGAAAAGTCTGTGGTTTTTCAGGAGCCCATCCGGGGTATCAAAAAGATCCAAGGTGAGGACAGGAAAACCATTGTAACTGAGGTAAAAGAATAAAAGGGTTAGCACTGCTGCCTTGCATTGCTCAGATCCTGGAATCAATCTGTGTGGAGACTTTGATACTCTGCTCTTTATGTTAGTTTACACGGGGAACCCTGTTCTACCCAACCCAGAAAACATACCAGCAGATTAATTGGCTTCTTTCCTAATTTATGGCTTGTTCACACCATGTCCCAACCAGAACAGTTTGTTCCCAGACCAAAAAAGAATCCTAATGTATCCCTATTGTATTTCTGGGCTCAGTCACAACAGCGCAGTCCATTCCGGACCAGATTTAAAAAAAAAAAAAAAAAATTTTAAAAAAAAAGAGAAAAAACGCACTGGAACATATGCAAACGCACTAGACTGCACCTGAAAGACGATTGTAAGCTAGAAAAAACGCACCGGAAAGCAGCAAAAAAGCACTGCAATGTATTTGCAGATTTGCTCCAGATATGGTGTGAACATAACACAGACTAAGTGCTGGACTGTGTATGCAATCCAATTGACCGTAAACCTATTCCTCAGGGTTGATCCAATTAGAACAAAACAAGCATAGTTACAATAAAGCTCTCCACAAGAGTTCCTGCACAACGCAGAATCTAAGGCTTCATTCATACAATGCGATTTGGGATCCTTGCGTCAGGTACGTAGATTCCTGCGGCAGGAATCTCAAATGTTCTCTTTACCTGGGCTACTGTACCCGTTAAAGTGACACTAAAATCAGGCGTTAAATCTTAAGGGCCGGTGCAGACCTGGGCGATCCAGAACGCGTGTCCCAGGACCATGCGGTCGTACACAATTGCATTGTGTTCAATAGGGTTAAATCCGAGCGGCAATCGCAGAAAAAAAAGGTACATGCACCTTTTTTGCAACTCACCACATGCGGCTGTTTTAGCCGCAATCGTGTTTGGTTGCACAGGCGGAATTGCGGTGGGAAACCGCGCGATCCGCCAGGCGTGACTGGGGCTCCATTAGAAAGTAATGGCCCCGCCAGCGCAATCGTCGGAGGTGGTCCACTCAGTGACCGCACAGTAATCCGTGCACGATTGCCACACAGACACAAATTGCCCAGGTGTGAACCTGGCTAAAAAATACATTCAAGTACCTTAACTTTTTTTTTTTTTAAGTATCTTATTTGTGTATCACTCGGCTGTAGATCCTCAAATCATCTCTGAATTGGTGCCGCCACTGTCCTTCCTTCTGGAGGGTGGCTACTTTTGTTCTCCATGGTTCCTGTGTGTGATGTAAAGTAGTCACCGCTCCAAGCTCACTCCTGTGATGGACTACAATCTCACTACAAATTAGTAAATACATGTGAGATTGTAGTCCATCAAGGGAGGGAGCTTGGAGCCATGGACAATTTCCAAGATAATCTGAGGATCTACAGCTGAGTTATACACAACTAGGGCACAGTTTTGTTAATAGTTCATGAACCTGAATGCATTTTTAAGATTTAACGCCCGAGTTTAGTATCACTTAAAAATGGTAAAAGATAATTGTATTAGAAAATCTGGACTACGCAAATACTGTCTCCATTTGGAACTCCTAAGCCAAAAACATCATGAAAATTAACGAGCAAAGCACTCCAGAGAGAAAAAAAAAGCACAATTAAAGCTGGCAGACACTGCGCATGTCACTGAACTGAAAATAACCTGTCTAATATAGTGAAATCTTGTCAGCCACACTCTATGTGGTAATATTTAAGCTATTTTCCTAGAATTACCAGGCGGTGTACCATAATTCTCTGTATGATAAAAAAGGACCACCTACAAGGCCACTCCTAATACAAACACTGTCCAGAATCTTCTAAATGTATTCTCAGTGTTCATAATCCAAGAGGCTCTACATAATTCTCCCAAACACAATAGAAGAGAATGAATGCAGAAAATAGTAAATGAATGATGTTACCTATACTATCTCACACATCCCATTGTACAAACCTTGAAACTAAAATGTAGCCGTGGCTGGAAAATCTGACAACCCAAAGATTCATCACAATATCTGGACTACATTGGTCAAGCATACATATATATGCATAGGGCAGACAACCCCTGACTCTTTATTCCAAAGTGAATAAATAAAGCAAGCAGAAGTGAGAATTCAAATGCAGACGGCTCCGTTCTCTGTGGTCACTTGGGCAGGCTGTGTCTAAAAAAATATGAATAGTGCCCATGGCCACATAACAGTCAACTAAAGGTAACACAAAACTCATCTTTAAAGTGCCAACATATGGATCAATCATGAGGAAGATAAGACAGTTCTACAATTTTCTTAAGTAGAAGGACTGTCAGTGGGAGTCTGGATCTGTCAGATTTGGCTTTATGCATGTTTGACTAAATCAGGAAAAGGCTGGGTGACAAGATCCGTCCAAGTGATCTGGTTATCTGTAGAGAAGTAAGATGAGAAACGCTTAAAAAAAAGTAGAAGGGCTCATGCACACCAACGTAAAAAAAATAAATCTGTGTTTATCCTCTTTTCTATTGTGTCGGACCTTTTCTTTGCTTGCATCTCATTCCTCCTTAGGGTGCCCATACACTGTGCAATTTTCGGCCAGTTCTAGAGGAACCGGACGCAATTCGCCCACTGTGTACCGCTGTCAGCACCCTTTTAGCCGGAATTCCTCAATCAGCTAATTGAAGGAGCCAGCTGGAAAATCTGCGTATGACCAGAGCTGGGAGCCAACGAGCTGCCAGCTCTGGTCAGGCAAATACAATGCAAACAGCGGGGATTCCCTGATTGACACACTGATAGTGTCGATGGAGGAATCTGCTCTATGTTTTTTCCTTCAGCCCGCAGGTTAAACGAGAAAAATAGAGCCATGTACGGCCAGCCTTAGTCCACCGGACAGCCCTTTTTGGGTCTTAACCCTGCAACTTTAGGTCTCATCTACCTGTCCAGCTTCAAGCTATTAGTGTGATCTCAGTGATTGTGGACAGAAATGCCCTATGGGACTTTGTAGGTATTTTCTTCTGGTTACCCATTTGGGCAATGCTGTTATTTTAGTATTTTTCTACATGTGTGTTTTATATTTGAAAATCTGCAATAAACTTTTCTTTTTTTACATCTTATATAGTGTGTGTGTGTGTGTGTGTATGGGTGTATGTATATATATATATATAGTTCTATGGTCAGTACTTTACACATGTATACATCTAAAAACACGAGAAAACGCATGCACATGTGTACACGCATAAATCTGAACTAGAAGAATGTAATAAGAATTTTGCGGATCTGTACATTTACTGACCATTAGATTTTTTTTTTTACATGGGATCATGCTGCACACCTGACACATGCTGCACATCCAAACAGCCAGTACACAGCTGGAACGTGTAAGAAATAAATAAATAAATAAATAAATACATACTCTGTCATACCTCCTATCTAAAAAAACAAAATGGTATAATAAAAGATGACAAGACTTCAGATCCTGAAGCTCTGCAGACTGTGTCAATGCCCTGCCTCACAAATTACTTGCAAATATCTCTACACTGAGGGTGATCCCACTCTGAATTCTGTCACCCATAAGATTACCCAAGACCCTTCTTTTTGTCAGAGCGTGCAAAGCATGCACTGTAACTTCAAGTCTGACTTCAACCTGCAAGTGGCTTTTGACAACTTATTTTGATTACAGATTTCAGGTATATACACCTATGTAATCAGGTGCCATGAATAGGTGTTAGTCCAACCTAAACTGGTATTTCAGTTTCACCTAGATGCCAATAGCTTGAAACAGCCACAATCCCTTGAAGACTTGGACAGTGAAATCTCTGCACCTGTGTCCCTAGGCTGTCTCACTCTCGAGGTGTTAGTTCTCACTTATTTTACTTGACAGAGTGTGTTCAGAATGAAGGTATAGGCATGTGGTCTGTGTAAAGGTGCCCATACACTGGTCAAATTTCACGTGGTTTTTAATGTACCGGCCGACATTCGTGTGGGGCTGTCGGCTCCCTTTCAGCCGGGATTCCTCGATCAGCTGATCAAAGGAGCCGGCTTTAAACTTTTCGATCGACTGCATTATCTATAAACAAGCTAACTGAAATGCACACAGATCTTCTGAAGGCAATCACAAGCATACACATTATATTACATAAGCCTTTGCCGCTTGCCTGTATTTCTTTGGGTGCTCCTCTCCGTTGGGTAAGTGAGGAATCTCTGGTGGTGTAATAAACACTGTGTGCTCGCTCTTGTGGGATTCATCTATTTCTATGAGACGCATCTCTCCAGACTTGTCCACGTCTACCTAAAGACAGAGAGGAAAAAGAAAAGTTATAAAACAAATACAACTGAAAAAAACATGTAAACCCAACCTGTGGAAAACTCTGGTGATGTCAATTAAGAGCTGTAACTGGTAGCTGACCGCACAAGTCAGCGCATACCTTTTTCCTCAGCTCTAATCCTGTCCAGAGATCTCACTCAAGTGTCTCTACTTTCCTGTAGTGGATGCAATTTCGAAAATAGACCACTCAGGCCCCTGGTACTGTATCAGCAGGCTAAAGGGTGGGAGTATGTGTTTGCAGATAAGCAAATAAAGTTATAGAAAGTAGCTATTAGCATAGGCTTTCAGGTGGGCAGCACTGGGTGGGTACATTGCTGAATTAGAAAGGTATGAGCTGACAGCATATGGCATTGCAGTCATTGGGTATATGCTTAAAATCGGGTCAGCTATAAGTTCCAGCTAACTTTGAGCTAATATTTACTTTAATAATGCCAACATATATGTAAAATATCAGTCATAATGGTTTTATTTCAATTGCCTTGAACCAGTCATATTGTATGTAATAATAGCTATACCAAACCAACACCATCCAAAAACTGACAGATTGAGGTTAGATTGGGACATCCTAATTATTCCATAAGGCAGTGGAAGGGGAAGTGGTGTGCAAAGTGCAATGTGTAGTAAAAAGTATCCCATGACTCTTCAGAATACATTCATCTGAAATCTGGCATCTACGGGTTACTGCGCTTTGCACTTTACTACTGCTCTTCGTATTGCCCTACCGAATAAAAGGCATCATTTTCAGTATGTTTTTTAACCGGACAAATTTTCAGGCTGATCCAATTAACAAAGAATCAACACTGGCTAGTGTAGAATGGAAAGCCAGACATCTGTTTTTGTTGGTTATGTAGAGTGTAAAAACATAAATACTAAACATAGAACATATTTAGTAAATCGGGGCAGACCTATGACAGATTTGAAAAATTTGCTAAATTTAAGTAGATCTTGCATAGATCTCATCACAGTGCCCGGACCTAAACTCCACTGAACACTGGAAAGAATTAAAATGCCCACTGTAAACCATGTCTACTAGTTTAACATCAGTACCTGACCTCACAAATGCTCTTTTGGCTTAATAAGCACAACTTGCCACAGACCAACTCCAAAATGTTGTGGAAAGCCTTCCCAAAAGAGTCAGGGCAGTTTAACCTCAAAGGGGATCAATATAATAATGCCCATGGTTATAGAATGGGAACAAGCCCACATAGGTGTGATGGGCCGCACACTTTGGCCATATAGTGTATGACTTAAAGCAGAAGTCAAATTCGTCTTAAAAAAATTTGCTGACAGTCATTTTTTTTTATAGCAAAAGAGACCGTGCAAATCTCTTGCCAAAAAAAGCTCCTATCTGCCTTTCAGCATTTTTTTCCCCTGTGAACTGAGCAGGGTACTTACTGTGCCAACATGAAGTAACTTCCACGCACATGCATAGGAGTTACATCATGCCAGCCCAGCCAATCAAGAGGCCAATGACGCTGAACCGGGAAGATGACCTGATAGTAGAGCCAGTGACGATCACAGACAGCAGAGCACTAGAGGGGATCGCTTACAAGGCAAGTCGGCCAAAATGTGCTAATATGCTGTGCATAATGCACATTATGGTGAAAAACCGCAGAGGATTGTTTTTTTAACCCATTAACTTCTGCTTTACCCCTAAAAAAAAGTCCACTGCTAGAAACTCGGGTGGGCATTTTAGAAACTTCAATGCCAACTGGATTGTAGATGTTTGACCTTGGCATAGGACTTGTGTTTGGGTAGTGAATGGGTGCTTGGGCACTAAAAGAATAAGCGCCACAAATCTTTGTGGACAACAGGGCAGTGAGCATTTGGACACCATAAGGAAAGAATTCAATTCCTACTTCACAAACACTTCACAGTGGTGTAGATTGGTGGCACAGGCAGCCAACACTGTCACCAGATCCAATATTACCAAGTCAGAGTGATTGTTTTTTAACTACATGATAAAAAGCTTAAGAAACATTAATGTTTAGAAACTCAAAAATAGTATAGGCTGCACACCACAAGAGCCAAGCTGAAAAAAAAATTGTAAAAGGGTTGGAAAATACAAAAGATAGCCAGCTCTTTTTACAAAGCAGCTCTATATGACAACTTGGTTTGACTGTATCCTGCCTGCAGGCTTGCATTTACATTATATGACCAGCATATCATAAGTAGAAAAACACAATGAAAGGGGCTACATCATTTTATAGTTCTAAAGGAAAATGGCACTCAGCAGGTAAGAGCTGTTGGATATGTAGACTAATTAACTCTGCTGCTCTGAATATAAAACACACGTGCTAAATAATAGGGCAAGAAAAGCGATTTAAGCCGCTGGAAGACTTATCGCAACAAAAAACTAAATAACATGGTAAAGAAAGACTTAACAAAATAATTAGTATGGGTTTCAAAAATAAATTACTATTACAAGAAAGTATGTACCTATGATCAGCAATTTAGTAATTGGCAGTATATAGAATAATGAAGTCGGTGAAACTCAGAAATGGGTATAAAGGTGCCCATACACTGCTCGATTCTCGTACGAGAATCGCGGGAAATCCCGCGATCGTACGAGAATCGAACAGTGTGAACGAAGACGTGCGACCGTTTCTACTGTACGGTCGCACGTCTTTTGTCTAAGGAGCATGTTAGAAAACCAGCTGAGAATCGTACGATTTTCGGCTGGTTTGAACAGTGCTCGGGAGACAAATGCCGAACGGGCCGGTGTGTGCACGCGCACAATGCCCGTTCAGCATTGCGGTCATCGGAAGCCGCCCCTCAGGGGGGCGGGCTTGCGATGATCGAGAGTGCGATCTGCCTGTCCAAGATGGGCAGATCGTACGTTTTTTTAATCACTTTACAACCATCGCAAGACTAAGGTCTTGCGATGGATGTACTGTGTATGGCCACCTTAAAAGTGGTTTCCGATGCATGCCTACAAAATGATGATGAATAATGCAACCTCTGGCATCAAATGTCCAGTAAATGGAGCAAATGGAACAATACAAGTTAGAAGAAATACTGATACATGATAAACTTATTTTGCAATATGTGAAAAAAAACAACTGGATTTTGACATGCAGTGGGTGAAAAGTGTTCCTGGACTTGTCATTTCTTAAAGTGTCATTTCCTCTAATAACACCCCCTAAGCCCGAATAAGATCTATAAATCCCAAAAGTTTACAATGGCTATTGCTATGTGTCAGGGAGGCAATGGTTATTTTGCTTCTATGCGTACTTGTAAATGTAGTTCTGCACAAAGATTGTGCTTTAGTTTTCCTCTCCCTCAGTAAAAAGTTTAATCAGTGAGCTCAGGCTTAAATGAAAACTGAGTGAACTAGACAAACTGCCTTCTAATCATTCAGCAATGCCACTTCAGCAATAGGAAACTGGGAGAGCTGTGGAGGGGCGAAACGATTTAAGCCCCCAGCCCGATGAAACCCCGCCCCAGTCGGTCCCCAAGCTAGTGTGAAGGAGGGAGGGAGCAGGAAGGGAGGAGACAGGGAGGAGCCTCCCTGTCCCTCACTTGCTTGTCACTGCTGAGGCATTGAGATAGATGGCCTCCGTGGGTTTTTTTTTCTCTTTTTTTGATTGGACAGCTTGGATCAATGGCGCTTTGCCATTGGTCCAATCCATCCACAGAGCTCACGCCTCTAACACAGTAGAGGCCGTGACAGCTCTTGCCTCACTAGTCAGGTTACACAAGCAGTGGGGGAGCCCGCTGCTGTGTAACCTAACTACCTGTCAAAAGCTGGATGCAGCGCTGCCTGTAATTAATAGTCAGCACTCCATCTATGACAGGTTACTCAGTGCGGAGGCTTTCCCTGCTGTGTAACCTGTAACAAGCTGATCTGAATGGAGAAAAAAAAAAGCCGTCGCTGCAAACTTGAAGCTGACAGCTTTTTACTCCATAATACTAGGTGAGGCTCCGCCTCACCTGCCCGCACGTCCCTGCGTTGCAGTTGAAAAAAGTTAGCATGCAATGAACCTGCGGCACTGCAATGCATGGCAGGTGTGTTGCACAGTACCACGAGTTATTTGCTGATGGGCGGGAAACTAAGCATGCCAAACCCCACCGCCAATCCCACCAGACATACCGTTTTAATTTTTTTTTTATGTCCACAGGTGGGAGCTGCAGGAGAGGGGATGGAAGAGGTCCCTAATGTCATTGGTTGCTAGGACTACTCAGCAATGACTGCAGAGGAGGACCCCAATGTCAATGGTTGCAAGGACCGAAAAGAAATGCGGTTCGAACAACGGAACGATCGCTGACCTGTGCTGGGCTATGGCTTGCAGTGGATGCCTTGGGGGCCAGTGCATCTAGTCAGCCAGTCTTAATGGAGCGCAGATTAAGGGCCAGACAGCCACAGACCAAGGGCCAGATAAGGCCTGTGGGCCGTAAAATGCCCAGGTCTGCCTTACAACATATGCCATGCCGTCAGAGAAAGGGGTTTAGAAAAAACAGTCTGTGACCTGAAATACAGACTTAACCTTTTTCAGGTCCAGGAAGGTAATGGAGGACATCCTGCTATATATTTCTGGCATATCATTTGTGCCGCTATAAAATGTTATTGATTAAATGCCGCTTTTAAACCGCAGATATTATCTCAGCACTCAATGAATGGGAAGCACTCAGTACAGAGGCTTCCCATTCATTCAAACACGGATAGTAAAATGTTTACTATCAATAGTTTCTGAATGGGGAGGAGCGTCTGTACTGAGTGCTACTCCCCATTGAGGAAATCCAGAATGAACAGGCTGTAATGTAAATCACAGCCTGTTCATTCATAACTGGGGACACATAGCACTATGTGTCCCCAGTTACTTACAAACACTGGAGTGATCAGACGATCGCTCCAGTGTTTGTCCTTCTCACACGGAGGATCGGTAAATAATGATATTTACCCATCACCCGCTCTGCCTCGCACAGAGCCTCTCTCATCCTGAAACTGACAGGATGACAGCGGCTCCGATCTCCTACCTGCTCGGCCATCCTGACTGCTGCGAGCGCGGCTTCTCTCCCGCTCGGCCATCCTGACAGCAGGCAGCGCTCCCTCCTGCGACCCCGGACGGACGAGGGAGCGCTGTCATCATGTCGGTGAGGAGGAGAGAAGCCGCCCCGAGGAGTGCCTGACTCAATGGCTTCATTTCCACTCGCCCCCACGCAATTTTCACTCGCAATTTGCGAGGGGGCGAGTGGAAATTTTGAGCCCCGATTTAGAGCACAATACTGTTATCAAAAAAACAATGATAATGGTCAGAGCCATGACAAGAAAAACTAAACTAAATGTATAGACCAGATGCCTCCTATATTATTATTTCAGAAAGGATCATACAACTCTGCAAGACCTACTGCATAGCTAGAACGCCTAAACTCCAGTTTTATACAGCATTTTTCTAAGCTAGGCATTATATAATCTGTATTAATTCCTACTGAATGGACAGAAGGTGACCCAGTTTTCTGTGAATCCAACTCCATGAATTAATCTTCCTCCGACAGTAGTGTCTGGGAAAAGTACACCTCACTGTAAGCCATATAGTGTACAGTACTTCATTTAATATCCAACAGCATGCAAGCAGTCAAGAGATGCTTCTATTAGCAAAAAACAGCGTATATGAAACCAAGACTGGCCTCACCTGTGAGCCCCAAAAGGCGATATCAAAACTATTCTTTTTTTAATAGTATGTTTATTATTTAATCTTCCTAGATTTTATTATAGTGCTAAAAGTGCAAAACATAAACATAACATAATGCACATAGCCGTAAAATGTAGTGCCCCATGACCTTAGAACTATTTTCACCAACAATCATTCCTGAGTGTTGTATGTAAAGTAATGGTAATGCCCATCCCGGTGTAATCTGTTAAAACATATGAGGTCTTAATTAAAAAAAAAGAAAAAGTTAAAGAATTGTTGGTATAAAGCGTTATGCTTTAAAATGATATTACAGTCAAAAGGTTTCTAAGCTATTTCAAATGCTGATAAAAATTACTTACAATGGATGCTGCTCCCTGATGTTTAAAAGTTTACTTACCTGCAAAATCAGCTGATCCCTGGCTCAATGCTGAGGTGGGGAAGCCATGTCGTGCCCCTATTCAGCCTTGGGCACCAGGCCAGCAAATTGCTGCTACTATACTGATCTCTGCAAGGAGATGCTCCGGATGCCTATCCCGATACCGGAACTTCCAGTATCATGAAGCCGGGCGGCGAGTCATTACATGCTGCCCAGCTTTCTGATTGGCCATAGAGACGACTTCCCAGCCAATGACTCACTGCCTGGCTTCCTGATTGGCCAGTCACTGCTGCCGAGGGAGCATGGAGACGGCTTTCCGAGTAATTGGGAAGCCAGGCAGCGAGTCAGCCCAGTTTCCTTAATGGGGACTTCAGATATCGGTGAGTACCGAAAAAAAATATCAGTACACGTACTTGATACCGAAAATCCGGTATCGGTGTATCCCTAGAATTTACTTATAAATGTTGCTACGTTGTTCAGTCTTGTCTCAGAAGTTCATTGAATGACCACAGCATTATTGTCCCCCCCTAAACTATTTTATCCAAAACAAACCAAGACAGGTTTGTCACTAAAATTTTAAAAAGTGGAGCTAAAACAAAACATTTCAGCAAACAAAATGCAAGTCTTTATAAAATAAGTTATCAGGTTTCACTGCTGAGGCAATGCTTGCTGCTTTTAGCAATAAAACTAAATGGAACAGATACATTTTGTCTTCATAGAACATTTTGTGCATCTTGGGCATTTGTCAGCACTAGAAAATGCCAGCTCTTAAACATTAAAGCCTTGTTGCTTGAGCACGGCGGATAATAAGAATTGGAACAAAATAATAAAAAGCAAGGATAACACAGGTGGTTTGCACTGCATCTGACAATTGAAATGCTACTAAAAACTTCCAGAACTGTTCACTTTACACTTCCCTGCCCTGTCACAATGCATGTCAGAAACAGGTTATACATTTAATGTGACAAGCCAGGGAGACTCATTTGGAAACATTATAACAGAACTCTGCTGAATCAATAGTTCCTGGAAATGTACATTTTTAAACACTCAAACACATCGATTTCTGTGCTTTACATATTTTTATTCCAAAATGTCTTTAATTCATAATGTACAAGTGCAACAAGTATTTTTAGAAAGTGAAATAAGGGACTTCCTATGTAAATAGCAGACGTTTCCCTGTCTGCAATCCACACTAGTTTTAAAAATATATCTTGCTATTTTCTGAAGCAGCTAAAAGGGGTATGATGAATAAAATTTAGTAGCAGTGGTAATCCTAGAAATGACTGCAAATTATTAGAAGCTCTGGTATTAAAGTGACACTAAACTCAGGCGCTAAATCCTTAAAGAATATATTCACATACCTTAACTATTAACCCCTTAGTGACAGCTTCAGAAAATGTGTTTTGTTCCTGGGGAACCAGAGCAACTTTACCATTTTTGTTTCGTGTTTGTTTAACCATCATTTCCATCTTCCTCATTCATTGCACCTACACATATTATATTATTATTATATACCATTTTTTTAAAGGACAAAATGGGCTTTCGTTTAATGTAACATATGCAGATATAAATTCTTATACGTTTTTTATAAACACAAAACGCCAAAAGAATGTCAGTTTTAGCAAAAACAAATTGTACATAATTAGTGAGCTGCTGCCGGCAATGTGACTGTCACGACTCTGTGATCACAGCGATCAGGTATCTCTGTGATCATAGTGCTGTCACATGCATGGCATATAAAAAAGACTGGTGGTCTATTAATCCAAAATATTTAAAAATAACTTTTTTGAAAACTTTGGAGACATATTTTAAAAGTATATTGGTGGATAACCCTTTCACTCTCTGGCCTATGCTGCATATAAAATATAAAACATGTTTGCTACTAGATATTAGCTGATACCAGAATATAGATGGTTATTCTAAAACCACTGGCTTGATATTCAGGGGCACTGTGCCCAAAGCAGCCGCTCCTCAGAATCAGGGACTCTTTATGAAATATCACTCTCAATGGTTGTACTTTCTAAACCCTACTGAACAGCTAAAAGGAGCCCTCTGCAAACATTACATTGCAAATGAAATCACAGGGTGCACATATAATTAATGTTCACTCATCTCTGGTGACCAAAATAACAGAGCTGCTCATTCTCTTAAGAAAATCAGTAAACAAGGCAGATAGCCCTGCCCATGAAGTGCTAAAAGTGAAAGGCCTGAGATCAGTTGTCTCCTAGTAGCAGAAGCATCATCATTACAAACAGTTAAAAATGATTAGGGGGACATCAGTGCAATTCTACCAAACTTACTACAAGTTATCCTTGAACTGAATTTTGTATCCCCACCAAGTTTCTTAATCCCAAAAGCATGCTATACACAAAAGGGCCTCAACTAGGAGTTATGCCCCCACCTCACTCTATTTAGTAGGCCAATGCCAAAGACCCAGTGGTCAAAAGAGATCCCCACACTGGAATGTAAAGAGCTGCATTCACACATCTGTGTTTGGAATTCAGAACATTTTAAAGCTTGCACAAAAACTAGCAATTTTTAATAGACGCACGTTTGCGGCTAAAACTATAGTCTTTTGGGGACAGAATGCACATGTACTTTTTGCCGCATTGCGTATTTTAGTGCGCGTGTATGAACGAGCAGGTGTAAACGAGCCTCATAGGGATGCATTGCTTTTTGGGTTTGGCATTTACAGATATGCACGGAGAACCGCTAATGTGTGAATGAAGGATTATACATTTTTTTCCCGATGGACGTATCTCCCGTTGCAGCTATTGAATTCCGACAGCGGGTATGCCACTCATTAGCTGCAGTCACTGTTATGTCGAAAAGCCAGGCTGAACATTTTAGATCTAAGAAAATTTCAAATGAAAGGTGCTACATCATTTTAAAGTTCTAAAGCAAAATGGCACTCAGCAGGAAACAGCTGTAACATATGCAGACTTATTAACCTGCTGCTCTGAATATAAAACAGGATTCCTAAATAATAGGACATCTATAGTGATAGTAGAAAAGATAACAGAAAAGCAAACTATGTCGCTGGAAGACTTAGCAGAACAAAAAATGTAATTATATAGTAAAGTAAGGTTCACTTTGGGTTTCGGAGAGCCTTTGGCAGACATTGAGGCCTTCTCTGTAGCACATTTTCCAGATCCAGAACACAAATAGAGATTTACCAAAGGAAGTATTGCAAGTTTGAATACACTGATGTACCTTAAAATCAGACAAATGTACAGCATAAATCTAAAATAAAAAATATTTGACATCACCTGCCGTTTGACAAGTGTAGTTACAACTATCAGCAAAACTATTACCCCAAATGAGTGGTCTTACCTTTATGCCTTTCTCAGCACAATTCCTTTCTGAGAACAGCTTGTTAATGAGAGAGCAGAACAAGTGTCAGAAGGTGGCTCCTCTTTATAGGCAACCAGCACAGAAAAAAATGCTACTTTCTTTAAAATAAGTGCTCATACACAGAACTGCTCATACACAAAACTTTGTAGCTATACACATGCCTTGGCAAGCAATGTTAGTTATGGTTTGCAGAGAATGCCAAATCTTTTCAGACTGTACGTGTTAATCCGAGATAATAGCAAAGAAAAAGCTGTTGTCAGGTCACATCACCAACACGTTGTCTGAACTATGGAGAAAGGGCATCAAAGCTTAACAGAAGCGACAGGTGAACTTTAACAAGAATGAACCAGGAGAAAGGATTCACAATAATGTAACATTCTGAAATGACACTATAGCAGTGTTACTGCTGCCTTGTAAGTTTAAAAATATAGACATCCACAGTAACAATAGCTCCAAGTATTTTGCTGTACATACCTTCTCAACGCAGTCATCAAAAAAGGCCAGACTGGCATCCTTATCACTAACAAATGAGCACTCTTCAATGAAGCGGATAAACATCTGAGTTTTAGTCATCATATTGTAAAATTTGTGGTGAGAGCGATCACGGCTCTTTAGGAAACCTTAAAATGAGAACAACAGACACTGTACTAAATTGATTACAAATTTACCCTGTGAACTTTTCATTCACTGTACTAAAATTATGAAATATCGTGAAGAACTTTATACTTTGCATACCTTGATGCTCAAAAAGAGAGCTTGCGTCTGTGGCCGTCTCAGATGGAGCCTGTGTGATCGGTCTCAGATAGGCTCTGTACCCTTTCAAAATGGATGCCATGAAGCCCAAAAAAGCCTCCTGAATCTCCATATCCAGTTGATGCATTTTATTTCCTGAAGTGAAGTCATAATCATTCATAGCAAGTCCCAGAAGTGCATCTTCTCTGGGTCTTTGCTGTACTAAAAGGTAAAATGGAGACATGTTGTCAGGGCTCAGATTGTACATCAACAGCACAGATCTCTAATCAAGAGAAGTAGCTGGTCCCCCAAATGCAAAAGGACTTGCTATGTTGCCTTTCGATTACTGGTAGGATAGGTAAGGAGAATGATGTGCCTCCTTCTATAGGCAGGGCGGGTGGCATTCGCTCAGCACAAGCACGTGCTAGATGGCAGTAAGTTTAGGAAATTCCTATACTCCTCAGTGCCATCCAGGGGTGCTACTGCTGTTCAAACGGCATTCACCAAGCTATACACTGGGCAAAAGTTTAATAAACCCATAAGTTTCAAGTACGTTTAGGGCTTCTTCACAAGTGCACAGAGGTCTGTTCACTGTAAAAAAAACATTGCACCCAAGAGCCTGGCTGTAAAAATCAATGGCAGGCTATGGCTGTACCTTGATAAAATGTTGCTCGGAGGGTATACTTGTTTACAGGTATGGATGTACGCTCCTGGACGCAGACAAGTAAACGCTTGAAGCAGTGTTTACCAGCGCACAGCTGCAGTCTGTCGTGGATTGGTACAAGCGAGCTTGTATGCCATACCTTTGGCTCCACATGATCTGGCATTTTTTGTTTCATGGTAAATGGTCCTCTGCACCTGTGTGAATAAGCCCTTAAGTGTGTACTGGCTTGTGCTAAAATTTAGAGAAAAGTACCTATTCTATAGTAGTGGCCGTAGCACTGCAGAGCACAGCTTACTCAATCCAACGAAAAAGAAGTGTGCAGAGTTGAGTAGCCCAATAATAAATCTTACTTGGAGCACAGCACATTGAAATCTGTTTCATTTTGTGCCAACACTGCTGGAGTGTGTGAGAAATTTAAGTTGATGGGACTAAGTCTTAAGGTGCCCATACACATCGATTTTCGTTCACAAATGGTCTTTCGAACGATAATCGATCAGTTGATGGGACACCCAACAATTTTAATTGCTCTACTTCTGGATGAATTTCCTCGTCGGTCAGGCTGGAAACCTTTTTTCCAATCGTCCGAAAATTGATGGATTAACAGCGTTTTTGTACGCAGAAAAATCGCAGCAAGAACAACAAAATTCGGCGAGTCAATACTGCTAAGGAACGATTATCGAAATAGACATTTGTCTGTGCTTGATGGGCTATTTGAGCTAAAGTCGAATGAGGGATTTTGGCAGCAACAAAAACTTCTGATGGAAAATCTATAGGTGTTTAGCCAGCTTTAAATAGGATGCTGTGGATTGCAGTGCAGTGATCAGTCATTTTGCATTACTGAATAAACTTATAATAAAAAGACTAGAGCAGTATAAATCACAATGTTACTTTAACTCTGAACATGGCTACCTATGAAACATTTAGTCACAAAACCGACATGACTACTAAAGGCAATCTACAAGATTAGAGCGATCAAACATGACTAAAAAGCTTACATATTCACTCATATGTAATAAAATATAAGTCACTGTTATAATGGCATGGCCTGCATCACCAGGCCAATAAAATATTGCTAGCTGCGGCATTGCTCAATCCAAAAGTATGAATGCTACTCACACTCGGCCAATTGCTGATACAGATTACTGAGCGTATTCAGGAGATTCTTGCAGGCTTTCTTGGGCAGGATCTTCCAGCTGATATTCCTTTTGCAATCACTTCTGCCATATTGGGAAAAAAGTGACATTTAGTTCAGTAACTTGGTTAAAGTAAGAATAGAATTTGACTAAATCAACTAGGATGATGAGTAACAGATTTTTAATCTGTGGGATATTTGTGGGGAGGAGAGGTTCCTTTCAATTGGAGCCCCTTCCCCCCAAGAATATACCATTATAACTGATGTTGCAGTTACTGCACAATGAAAAGTGACATTTCATGCACCAAGTCCCTTACTACTCCAGGGAACAGAAGGTTCCTAAACTATATTAGCATGCAATGTAAAAACAAAATAATCTATTCTGTGCTTTTTCATAAAGCTGTAACTACCTTTTAGGGGATTTTCACTATAAATACAGTGTACCTTTCCCTTCACGTCCGCTGTATATAGTAAAATGGGGCAAAGTAAGCCTCATTCTTGAATCCTATTTTTAGATTTTGGGCGTCTTATTTTCAGATACATATTTATGAAATGTACATTTATTATTGTTTTGTGCACACTTTTTGTGCAGTAAATGACTGCACATAAATATGTGCACTAAATGACTGCACATATTTACAAAGACAAAAGGTAATAAAAAAAGGACAAAACATTTACTGTTAATTACTGGATATAAAATGTTAAAATATGAAAACATTATGTATCAGAGAGGAAAGTTTCCACTTCAATAGAAGACTATAAGACAAGAGTTTGGACCTGTTACAGTAAATACACTCATTCCTTCCAGAGTAATTGAAAATAGAGGCTGCCCAGTACTAATCAAGTGTTTACTGCCCTCTGGCCAGAAAGCTGATGTTTTTACAACAACCACACAATCTCTTTTTGTTGTTACAGAACAAGTTCTCATCAAGGAATACTTACTGAGAAATGGTGTTGGTATCTAGGTCAACACAGCTCACATCCGGAGGGGGCTCGTACAAATCAAAGTAGCGAGAATCAATTCCCACAATGAAAGGACAGGGGGCACTCAGCACGTCTGCCAGGGCCAGAGGGCAAAGAGGGATATATGGACAAGGCCAATGGAACGGGAAGATCATCTTGTGAAAGAAAATGATTTTGTTATTGTCAGTTTCAGGTATCGTTTGTTTAAGCACTGCTAGACAATACAAACATAAGCGCAACAAACAGCCAACAGAAATCTATTTAGTCACACCAATAGCCAAAAAACCTTCACTGGACCCTACCAGCCTCAATAATTTCAGACCTATCTCCTTACTCCCATTGACTTCTAAACTACTAGAATGCCTCATCTACAACCGCCTGAGTTGCCACCTCGCTAATAACAACTTTGTGGACCCGTTTCAGTCCTGCTTTCGCCCCATACACTCCACTGAAAACGCCCTCCTAAAACTCACCAATGACTGTCTAACTGCTAAAAACAATGGCCACTATTCCATACTCTTGCTATTAGACCTTTCTGCTGCTTTTGATTCTGTGGACCACCCGTTGCTCCTCAAAAAACTCCACTCGCTTGACTCAGACCTCACCTTTCTTCCCCATATAAATCCTATATAATAATAATAGTACTATGCTCAAACAACCCAATCTCTCTCTGCTGGAAAGCAGCATGCAATGAGATGGTCTTGCGCACTTGAAAAGCAAAAGTGATTTAAATATCAAAATGAAAAACTGATCCACTCAGCCATTCACATAGGTTGGTTTATATAGATCCAAATTTTACAAATGTATTGGATCAAAGGGATCAGATTGCTGTACAAAGTTTACAAAATTTAGTAGATGATACAAATCATATACGGCTCTCATTACTCGTTCCTGCATTCTCCTTTGCGATCGTCACAAGCCCACCCCCCTGAGGGGCGGGCTTCCGATGACTGCAACGAGGGGCGGACTTCCGATGACTGCAAACGGGCAGTGTGTGCACACCGGCACGTTCAGCAGTTGTCGGACAAGCAGGCCACTAACCCGCCGAGAATCGTACGATTCTCGGCGGGTTTTAAAGGCTGCTTGTTCGACGGAAGACGTGCGACTGTCCAGTAGAAACGTTTGCACGCCTTCCATACACTTTGCGATCGTACGATTGCGGGATTTCCCGCGATTCTCGTACCATAATCGTACAGTGTATGGGCACCTTTAGATACTTGGGGTTGTAGGGACTCACCATCCTCATGTACAATTCATGGTTATTAGCCCTAGATTGTAATTATTCACGCAAGCGTGCACCGCTGGCCAGAGCACCTTAGAGAGGAGGCTTGAGGTCCAGCCGCACAGATGGAGAAAGGTTACCGAAGCAAGGCATAGGTAAAGTATTACGCCTTATTCCTCCACCCCCTAGACTTAAGCTTTTAACCCTTGTAGTTTGGTGAAGACCCATTGCAAGGGTACAAGTATCCTGATCAGCTTCAAATTCTGAGTAAACATTTGCTGATGGCAGGCTCATCCATCCTCTCCTATGCAGATTTTAGACAAAGGCTTTTTACTTTGGCTCACTGGATATGGCTGAACTCTCTGCAATATGCTCCTTTATCAGAAGTAGAATAGCAAACCAGCGATCAGCTTCTCTGCCATATGCCTTATTCCCTCATACTTTACAGGCTGGCTCCAAAAAGCTGCATTTGGATTAGATCCAGCAACGTGAGCTTCAGAGCAGCCTGTTAATGTTATGCAAACAAGGTTATGGAGGCATCTCAATCTGCTTCTACCATTTCCATACAGCCAACAAAAGGAACACTTGGGGGATCAAGAGCCACACATTGTAAGGGCCAGTGGCATTTTCATGGCGTAGGATATTGTAAAATGGGATGTTGAAAACCCAAACACTGACTGTAATGGCAGGAAGGCAACCCAAAATAAAATATTATATATGATTTATATAGTGCCAACAGTTTACACAGCACTTGGCAATGTAAAAGTAGACAGCACAGTTGCCATTCAATTAAAGACAAAAGTATTAGGGAGGGCTCTGCTTGTGAGCCTACAATCTAAGAGGGAAGGGCAAGTGATACAAAAGGTAATAATTGTGTAAGGGTAAGTTAATGGTGAAAGTAAGATTTCAGTTGTTAGGTGGGAGGTGGGCTAGGCATTTCTGAACAGATGAGTTTTCAGGGATCGCCTAAGTGCAGACAGAGTAGGAGATACAGTAGCTGGACTGATTGAGGTAGAGAGTTCCAGAAGGTAGGAGAACTCTGGAGAAGTCCTGCAAGTGAGCATGGGAGGAGTTGACAAGGGAGTGGTAGGTGGTCTTGGGAAGAGCAGAGAGGATAGTTTGGCTGATATTTTGAGAGACGGTTGGTGATATATTTAGACAAGCAGAGTTGAAAAAGAATTTCATTCAAAAGAACTTTATGTAAATATCACAGTCAAAAACCTGTGAGCGCTCAACATTACATGCATCTGCATGGAGCACCCACGATCTAACTTCTCCCACACTCAAAAAGAACGGACTAAATGTTGTGCTTTTACGACCGTGGTATAGACAGTAAAGTGCCTTGATGTCAATGGTAAAATGCATTGCATTATGAAAGAGAATCTGAACCTGTCTATTCAGGGTATAGTGTCAAATCCACTTGCTTGCCAACTCACCGATACTATTCTCTGCTGTGCTTCCCCTGCCCACTCTCTGTCTGTCTGTCTGTCAAGCTGTGGGTCTAATCTTGGTGTAAGCTTTGTCAGTCTGTCTAGGAGCTTGGACAGGGTAAGTGATCTTCTCAAATTTCCACATAACCATGTTTGGGCCTGGTACTAGGCTTTCCAGGCCCTAGTGCTGCATCATGGGAGTGATATGAAAAGGCTACATGCACCCCAATACCCAGCAAAGGTAAGCATCAGTGGGTGCAGTGGTGGACTAGCAAGAGAACCTTCCATCTTGCACTAAATGGGCAAATTAAAGATTCTCTTTAAAAGCCTGCTTTTTCGTTGACTGATCACAGCAGTCACATGATAATGTATACACTGAAAATCTATCCGCTTCCTCTTACAGCAGAGGAAGGAGAGAAATTGTAGTGTTTTGTGAATGGAAAAATGAATGAATGAATGGGTCAGCAGTTCATTCATACATTCATTTACAATGACAGAGATATTTGTTAGCCCCTTTAGTTCCCCTCCTCTCCTTAAATTATGATCTCCAGCCTGCTTGTGTATTGTGACCTGTATATTAATCCTTCAACTCCCATATCTTGCACATTAACCCCTTTATTCTGCCTCTGTATGTAACCTGTACATTATCCCTTTCTCCTCCTGATGAACTGATGTACTGTATCTAGCTCATCATTACCAAGCCCCATGTTGTAACTTCCTCAATGCCAACATGTTTCTTCATTTCCTAAAAAATTGTAGCACAAAATGAGATAATCTTGGGGTATCTATTTTCTAAAAGGGGGATATTTTATGGGTGCCCGTACTGTCTTGGCATTTTGATTTTAACAGAAAGGGAAACTTTTTTTCAAACTTTTTGGTATTTTTTCTTTTCCATTTTAAAAATACAAAACCCAGTGCTTAATAAATTCCACCACAAGAAAGTCCTATCTGTCTCATGATATAGAATTAATTTGGCTACACTGTTGCACGATGGAGTAATTGTCAGCCAAACTATCACAGCGCTGAAAAAGGAAAAATGGCCTGGTAACGAAGGGTTAAGTACAGGCTGCTGGAAATGGTAGGACAGAACACAGAGAAGGACAACAAGGAAAAAGCTTTTCCTCTATAGGTACAGAGATTCCGATACACATGGGACCAAAACGAAACCTACAACATTAATGTATGATGCCTCTCTTCACTTCCATTTTCTGCACATCCCATGAGTACTACAAATGCATCTATAAGTCCAGAACAATTGCTCTCTCTGTAGTGCTACCCAGTTCTATATGTCCACATAAACCACCCTTGTTGAAAAATATGACAGGAGAAAGATGAGGAGCAACTGCCATTTCCCAAAGACATGTTAGAAGGTTAATTGGCTCCTGTCTAAAATTGGAACTGTATGTATGCATGTGAGATAGAGACCTTAGATTGTATGCTCATTAGAGCAGGGACTGTTATGATAGTGCGCTGTGTAAATTGTCGGTGCTATAAAAATAGAAGTTAAGATGTTCCATGCCGCCCTAACATCTTGAAAGGCTTTCCAGGACGGCATGGAATGCCCCAATGTCATGAAGGGGTTAAAAAGAAAAACTGTGCTCACAGAAACTTTTCTATCCTCCAGCTGTAACTAATGAGGCACAACCTTTCCCCAAACTGTGAACAGACCTATTAACTGGTATATGCTCTCTACCACTAAGCAGCGGCTATTATCCAGTGTTACAGATTCTAATACAAAGGAATTCATGCTGTCAAGTAGTTATAAAGTATTTTTTACTAAGCCAAATTGTCATTGATTTAATCTGTAAAATTCAGTCTGAAAACAGGGTTTTTACAGGAGTATCCAGAGGAGACTCATAAATATGACATTAACGCCAGCTCACATTTGGTTCCTGGAGATGTAAAGCTTTTACAAAAGGCAGAAGAATAGGACCCAGTTGGCTGTGGAATGGAAAGCAGTAAAAGGTACTTACAGAGACCAAGGCTTCGGTTACACTTGTGAGAACAGAAGGGCGTAATGAGTGAATGAGGATTTTGTGCTCCGTGACAGCAAAGACCAGCAGAGTCGCCGCATTCTCAGGGCCCAAGTTCTGCAGCAGAGTGGAAAATTTTCCTCCGCTGTGTGTAAGAGAGTTTTACATAAGAAAAAAGCACTAATAGCTTAAAATGTATCATTTTTATAGAGGTTCTAAGGGTAGCCCCACTGCAAGGGTTAAGAATAATTTTTCCCAGAGTTCTGCTTTAAGATATAAGACATGCACATACAGTATACACTATACTTTTCCTCATAAAGAGACCCTGATGCCAGGCCATACAGTTCCCCAAAAACCTTTCCACAAGATGTATGCATTTAGCATATTTTATTCATGTTATTCATACCAGCCTCTTTTGTGTAGCCTTTAAAAGAGCCTGTGACTGCCGCTGGGTACCACTATCGTGGATGTGACGCCGGAACCTCTAGCAGATTCAGAGCTGTCACTCAAGTGACACTATGGTATTCCCCTTTGCGTCATCTCCTGCAGCTACATAAAGGGTATTGTAGGGAGCGGGGAAGGAGATGGCCCAACACTGGCAGTATTTAGTCACTCCAAGAAGAGGAGGGTCTATGATGTGCAAGGAGGGAGGGGGCTGTGCGTGGGAATTGACTCTTCCTTGAGTAGTCAGATTTTCTGGCAAGCTCCAAGGCACATTGCAAGTGAATTAGAATTCGTTATGGAAAGGAAAACACTGCAAGTAAGCATTCAAAAAATACTTGATTTTTTCTGTACTTTAGGTTGGTGACAGGGGCCCTTTAAATGTTGTGTAACACAATAAAGCTACAAAAATGGGGTAATAAAGTCTATTACTAATAGAATGCACACCAAAAGGTACATGTAAAACTCCTACAATGTCTAGAATATTTGTTTTTGGTATGTCAAACTGTAATGAATTCATGATTGGGCAAGAACTATAGATGTATTGAGGCCAGCGACCAAGGCAGCAAAGGTCAAAGCAGCTTACTGATTAATTAAATGTGATACACTACTCTCGGTCGTTTGTTAGTGAAGGTCGTGGGACCTTGCCAGGGATGGCAAGCTAACAGGGCAAAAAATAAAATAAAAAGATAATTATTCAATCGCTAATTCATTTTCCCAGTAATTACATGTAAATGTTGCCTTAATTATGCAACAGCAAGAAATAGCAGCAAGCCACACATCATTCGCTTTCATTTTTCCCCCCTGGTGCACTAATGAACTTCAGAATAAAATCCTAGACTGGTCGCAGAGCTGGTAGTCGTGTCCCGTGATACGCAGAAAGGAGAGAGACGTCGCACTGCGGGAGAAGAGGTTGCCAAAGTAACCAAACTCTGCGCCGGCAGGCTTAGAAAACATGCCTGTCACATGACAGCACCCATCAGGTTCAATTAGCTTTAGCTGTGCAGTGTTATACAATGCTAATCCCATGGAAGCTGGAATTACACTAGTCCACCTGTGTGTCCCTGAGCCCAGCAGCACTCCCTGCGCCCAGCAGGACTCCCTGCGCACAGAGCTCCCAGTTTCAAGCCAAATAATGTGTACTTGCCTCAGTGGAAGCGGTGAGGACACAGGCTGGCTGAGGATCAAGGTATCGTGCGGGGAAAGCTATTCGGAGAGACAGCAAATTGTGTTTACTCAGCAGAGCAAAAAAGGGTTAGAAATGCACAAAAGATTAATCATACAGGCTGAGAACCAGCAAATAAAGAACATTTTATTAGTGTGGATCACATCATATCAAACAATGCAACAAGCAAACCATACAAACACAGGTGCTGCACCTTCAGCTGAGCTTTGTAGCTAGAGGGGAAGAATGGGATAAAACCAGACAGGGCCCAGATGCTGCTGGAACGATTTTACTGCAGCTATGATTCATCAAGATTTTAGCTGTGGCTTTATCAAGGCAAATTAAACCAAATATAGACACGCGGGCACACTATGGATTTTAAATATAAAGATTTTTTTTATTTTTAAACATCTATGTCCCATTTAGATATACACTATATTGCCAAAAGTATTGGGACGCCGGCCTTTACATGCACATGAACTTTAATGGCATCCCAGTCTTAGTCCGTAGTGTTCAATATTGAGTTGGCCCGCCCTTTGCTGCTGTAACAGCTTCAACTCTTCTGGGAAGGCGTCCACAAGGTTTATAAGCGTGTCTAAGGGAATGTCTGACCATTCTTCCAGAAGCGCATTTGTGAGGTCAGGTACTGATGTTGGACGAGAAGGCCAGGCTCGCAGTCTCCGCTCTAATTCATCCCATAGATGTTCTATCGGGTTGAGGTCAGGACTCTGTGCAGGCCAGTCAAGTTCCTTCACCCCAAACTCGCTCATCCATGTCTTTATGGACCTTGCTTTGTGCACTGGTGCACAGTCATGTTGGAACAGGAAGGGGCCATCCCCAAACTGCTCCCACAAAAGGTAGGAGCATGAAATTGTCCAAAATGTCTTGGTACACTGATGCCTTAAGAGTTCCCTTCACTGGAACTAAGGGGCCAAGCCCAACCCCTGAAAAACAAGCCCACACCATAATCCCCCCTCCACCAAACTTTACACTTGGCACAATGCAGTCAGGTAAGTACCGTTCTCCTGGCAACCGCCAAACCCAGACACGTCCATCGGATTGCCAGACAGAGAAGCGTGATTCGTCCCTCCAGAGAACACGTCTCCACTTCTCTAGAGTACAGTGGCGGTGTGCTTTACACCACTGCATCCGACACTTTGCATTGCACTTGGTGATGTAAGGCTTGGATGCAGCTGCTCGGCCATGGAAACCCATTCCATTAAGCTGCACAGCGTCATTGTTATGCCAATCTGAGGTTTGGTGGTCTGTAGCTATTGACTCTGCAGACAGTTGGCGACTTCTATGCACTGTGCGCTTTAGCATGCACTGACCCCGCTCTGTCATTTTACGTGGCCTACCACTTTGTGGTTGAGTTACTGTTGTTCCCAGATGCTTCCACTTTGTTATAATACCACCGTGGAATATTTAGTAGCAAGGAAATTTCACGGAACACCTGAATCCAATGATTTGGAGGGGTGTCCCAATGCTTTTGGCAATATAGTGTATATGCAACACAATTACTGTTGTAATATTGGTCTTCTTTCTAGACACAGTAGCTAGTTAAGCTTTCAATGGAAATAAAAGAAAATACATCCTTAACTTCTTGAGAAGTCAACTGTGTCCTCTTGCACCTTCAGCTACCTACAGACACGGGATTGAGGCTGGACGGGACCCACTTGTCAAAGATCATTCCATACCTGTGTACCTTATCCAATTAACTACAGCACTTATTGTTTTACATCATCCTGAAGTGGCATCTGGTTATTGGGGAAGGGAGGAATGAATACATCCGAGGGTAAGAGCAAACATACATATGTGTTACATATGCACAGTTGCGAAGTGTCCCAGGATTTGGGACACTTTCCCCCAGGCTGTCATACAGGACCCAGGATACTGCGCACCAGTGCAGAATGGCAGGCAGGTGATGGACCACTTCCAGCACTGAAAAAACTGCAGTACTATAGAACCGGATGATCTACTCCCAGTAGTGCAATTATAGTCCTGGCCCAACATGCTGAGGAGAGAGGCTGTGGCACAGGAGCATGTGATCTGGTAAGGAAAACCACTGGCCACCTATGAAATGGATGCTGAAGCAGATTAATTATTACTGCCAATGACCACCAGAGAAAGGAAGGGTAGGGAGGGGGTTAATTATTACTGTCACAGACCACTAATAAAAAGGGGGTTTGGGGCCTGCTTCTTTCTGGGGTCACTGACCACCATTACTATTATTACCACTGACCATCAATGATTGAGTTTATTTTGGCTCCCACTGACGACACAGATGCGCAGTGTTACCGTATTATTGCTCCCATTGACACCAATTGCCATGAGCACCAATGTTGGGGGTTATTATTGCTGCCAATGACACCCACAATGGGGCTTATTTTTCTCCCACTTTCTCTTCCGTGTAGCCCAGGGCCCTATTTTGTCTAAAATATAGCAAAGCAAAGAGGAAATTCAGTGCTGGAAGTGGTCCAGCACCCGGCTGCCAGATGCCACTTCAGAATGATGCAAAACAATAAATGCGGTTTGTTTAATCAGATAAGGAACATAGGCATGGAACAACCTTTGACAAGTGAGTCATACTTCCATGCCCAGCCTCCATTTCATGCCGCAAGGTAGCTTAACTCTGGTGCAAGAGGACACCGTTGACTTTTCATGAAGTAAATGATGTACTTGTACAAGTATACACATTTACTGTAGATTTGCTGGTAACTACAGATTATTATTTTTTTAATTAAAACTGGGCATATACATGCAGGACACTGGTGTTATGTATATAATGTATTTCAATACTTTTCATTTGCATTAAAATATATTTCATTTGCGTTAATAAATACATAGAACAAAATAGTATTTATAAGGACACACATGCCTGCATGCAAAAGATGAACCAGTTGAATATTTTAGTGTATAGCACGTTAAGTTGCTTGCCATATTACGTTTAAGTAACAGAAGTCTGAGGACCCAGCAACCAGGTAAAGTCATTTATCATTTTAAGGAATATTTACCTGTACCAATATTCTTGGTCTTTGAGGAGAAGGAAATGGAACTTTATGCATAAAGTGGGAGATGTGTCTAGATGAAAGGGGGGAAAATATATAATTCTCGATTAAAAATGCATGAAATACATCAGAACAGCATGTAAGATATCGGTAAAGCAATCCATAATTTGAACAATGCTAGCGATCGTTTCATTGCTGGACTATACACATTAAGAGTCGACCCTAAAAGACAGTCACTACTATGGTTTACAAAGGAGGTCTGAAAGACAATATGCACCATGCGTGAGTAAGTAATAGCTTGACACTAGATGTCAGAGTGCTCTGGTGTGTTTTTAAGAGTGTGTGTACTCAAGCGGGCAGACAGAACAAGACATTGTCAGTTAATAATTTAAAGCCTCTCACGCAGATAACTTACTTTTCTATTGGGAGCACATGGGGTCCAGAGATGGAATAACGGTAGAGGAAAGTGAGAAATTTCTTGAAAGCATCAAAGAAAGGCCAGTGAGAAAGAATACAGATGCACTTGCAAGCGTGGATGGTTTTGCAGGGATCCAATTTTCCCTCTGCACTGGTTACCACTCCTAACTGTGCTTTCTGTTTTTCTGTGAGCTGCTCTGGAGCATACGGCTCGTAGAATTGTACAGCTGCTCCATACACCTACGAGAAAGAAGAGGTCACATATGTAAATATTAGGCAAAGGAATCTAGTCTCTATGAAATAAATTGAGGTAATTAAAAGGGACCTTTTCACTATAAAAGAGAAGATTTTCTACCTACGCTGGTCTCTTCTGTATAGAAATACGAGGGTTCCCTCCCTAAGCTTACACAGCTTACTTAAATGTAAACAGGATCCATGTTTCACTACTACTTACTAGTCAGGCCGAAGTCCATATATTCAGGCACAATGGGGCTATCAGAGCATCAAAGTACAGGAATAACTGATGCACAAACTAAAAACAGCGGTCGCCAACTGGTGGTCCGTGGACCACGAGAAAATGTTGGTGGTCCCCGGGCCCCTCAGATGCTGTGCAGGCTGGGCCATCATTGAAGTGGCACAGAGGCTCCAGGGCTGCCTCTCACTGACTTCAAGTGTCCTCTCTACAGAATTCTTCAGAGAAGTTTCCAAGCAGATAGACCAGCTTTTCCCAACCATTTTTCATTCATGGCACCCTTTAAAAAAGGTATTAAAAATCTTGAGGCACCCCAGTGTAAAATGTAAAAAAACGATGTGCGCCACCTACAAAATCCATAGCAGACCCTTATCCCAGATAGGGATATTCAGTTATGAACTTTAAGTGGGGACACCATGCAAAAAAATGTGGTTCCCCCTTCACATCGGGATCCCTCCTTCATATTAACCCCGCCTTTCACATCATAAGCCCCCCTCTTCAGATTAGAGCCCCCCATTTTCACATCAGATTCTCCCCCTTTCACATAAGCCTGCTTGCACCATGGAAAGGCACGACTGTATGAAAGGCATTCCTGAGGGACACATACTGAGAAAGACATTTATCCAGCTTCACGTTTTCGCTCAGAGGGGTGTCAGTCTCCACCGCCCTCTGAAAAACAATGCACAATGGATTGCTTTCCAGAGGGCGGTGGAGTAGCAGCTGCCTGGCGTTCAGGAGGTGCTACTGCTGCCTCCTGAATGCAGGATTATTATTTTAAATCCCAATGGGGTTTTCTATTGAAAATGTTTGTCAAATCAATATTAAACCAATAAAAATACACAATTAAAATGGGAAAAAACACAAAAAATATCAGTATTAGTGCAAAAAAAAATAATTCAGATTAAATCTAAAAGATAAAACTGTATTGATAATAAATACATTGATACTTGTTAATAAATAACAAAAGTGTACATTTTAAATTGTGCCTTTTTGCAGAACGGTAAAAAATAAAATAAAAAATGAAGTAACGCAAAACTGTAAATAAGCAACTTATGATAAAAATCATTGGTGCGCTGTGTTGTGATAAAATGAAAAATACAAAAAACACAATTCAATACTAGAGGGTTAGAAGGGCCCTGCTCATCCCAGTTTTCGTGGTGATATTTTGAGAAGAGGCCTGTGATGTCACTTAGGGAAGAATTATGGACCGCTTTGACATTTTATTCATTTATTTCCCCAATATATATGTAAAGAATTGTTTTCCTGCATTGCAGAGTTACACGATACTCAACTTCTCCTTCTCATAATGCAAGTCTATGAGTAAGCTGATCCATTTAAAATAATACACCACATGTGCATGACACTTTATTTATACGAGAATTATGAGGTGAGTGCTTTTCACTCACCTCATTGTCCTAGCCGACCTCCGACAATGAGACTGTCACAGGTCGGCTCAGTAGATCGGGAAGTGAGCGAACACATACCAGCGTTCGTTTACCTCTCGATCCTGTCACGGCTCTCTGCAGTGACAGGGGAGGGGCTGGATTCCTCCCTCTCCGCTCCTCCAGCGCTGACTGGCGGAACGGACGGGGGAGGGGGCGGGTACAGCTGGCTCTGCCTCTAGATAGGCAGAGCCAGCTGTCACTCACGCAGCTGGGCGGATCCAGACAATAACTGCTCTGCTCCTGGAACGCGCTTGGTGTGAACAAGGCCTGAAGGTAATTTCACAAGTTGTGTATCAGATATAACACATCCGAATTCCTGGTACCTTTTCAGCAGATGCTCCAGTTAGGACAAACGTAGAAAAGACTGGAAGTGGATAGTTACTGTTGGATGGCCAGCATTCAATTGTCGCCCCCATGGGCAAGCAGAAGAGAGGCACAGACTCAGGCAAAGGAAAGGATTCATAATCTTCTTCAGGGTACCTGCATATTAAACCTATGGAGACAGAGATAGGCAAGACAAAATTCAATCACCACAATACTCACAATACACATTTTCTTTTTACGTATTTGTTATTTGAGGCCTAATAAGGGTTTTTTAAAAGTACAAATGATCTGTGGGTTATACAAGCTCAGTCATATATGATCCCAAAATTACATTACAGTATTGGTTTATGTTAAAAAATCTGAGGGTTTAATGTCACTTTAAGTAACTGAAGTCAGTATACATTATGCCATACTGCATGCTTGGCTGAACAGGAGAGTGTGCTTTGAAATGTCAGTGACCCATGGAAGTGAAGTACATGAAAATTCATAAAGTAGAAACTAAATCTGAAAAGGTGATAAAAGTTGGAGGATAGAAGAGAGAGATAATGCTATCAATGTATTTTAATTGCGTTATGTGCCACGTTATTGAACCAAATGTACAGTATGTGCACCTCCATCATCAGACCTACACCTCAGGTGACTCTTATTTCAGGTTACCAGGGTCTATATCCAAAGCCAAAAGAGACATTGCCACCCTCTCTATTGAAATGGGCCGATATATTGATCGACATTATGCACACGGAGCCCCTGGTTGCAGCAAACCAAACAGATTACAGATGGTCCCCCCTTCTCGGACTAGCTGGATAATGTATAGAGATTCAGACTTTAGGCAGATGATACAACAAAGGTTTCCAATGTACTATTGACTATCGTGTCCACGCATACTGGCAAAATACCATGTTGGATCCAGTACATTTTAGGAGATGCTCTGAAATGGGAGTGCATCTGGGCACCCTGTCTGACACTAAAGAATATGACTAGAACATTGGCTGTAAATGTTGATTGTTAAATCTGTAAACAATAAGTCAAGGCAACTGGACTTGCTGTATTTTTCTTAAAGACATTTCACTGGTCATCCGACCAGCTTTCTCATTCTGAATTGAGTTATGCTCATTAGATCAATGTATGAATAACTTTTCCGTTTTGGATTTATGTTTGTAAAATAAATAATGACACGGTTTAATACGTCACGTGTTCTTGTATTTACCCAATTCTAAGACTTGCCAAGGACCACATGATATTATGACATAATATGTCCTCGATTTTTATTTTTGCCGGTGGTTTGATGCACATAAAAAAAATGTATTTAGTTGCTAACCGAATTATTTGTGAATTCCACAGACGGCAGCAGAAGTGGCTAGATTCCACGGTCGGCAGCAGAATGTAAATAATGGGGAGCAATAGCCAGCCTGTAATTACCAATTTTAAATAGCAATAGCCAATAGCAGGCTGGCTACTGCACCTGCCCAATGAGCAGAGGAGCGGATCTGAGAGAGAACTTTCGCTCAGTGAGCGGGGCTTCAATAGCCAGCCTGCTACTGCAATTTGAGATGGCCAATAGTAGGCTGGCTATTGCACCCACTCACTGAGCAGAGGAGCGGACTTGAGAGAGAACTTTCAATAGCTTAGGGGTTACTATTAACTCTCAAGCAACCAGAAGTCCTGTTCACCACCTGCCTAATATTGTGTAGGTCCCCCTTTTGCCACCAAAACAGCCCTGACCTATCAAGACATGGTTTCGACTAGATGTCTGAAGGTTTGCTGTGGTATCTGGCACCAAGCCATCAGTAGCAGATCCTTTAAGTCTTGTAATTTGCGAGGTGGGGCCTCCATGGATCGGACTTGTTTTTCCAGCACATCCCACAGATGCTCGATTGGACTGAGACCTGAAAAATTTGGAGGCCAAGTCAACACAAGCAACTAGTTGTTTTCAACAAACCATTTTTGAACCATTTTTGCAGTGTGGCAGTGTGTGATGAGAGGCCACTGCCATCAGGGAATACTGTTTCCATGAAGGGGTGTACAGCTCACACATATAAAAGCCTGTGAAGTCCACAGGCTTTTATATGTGTGAGCTGACTGATACGCAGGGCTCACTCTCTCTGCTGTGGGTGCCTGCTGCTGGGCAAAACGCCTGCCTGCTGACAGAACACTAAAGCCCCATTCACACCTGAGCGTTTTGTAGCGCGTCCTACGCTCGATGAACGCTCTACAAAACGGTCAAAAAAATAAATAGCATTGTAGTCAATGGTATCGTTCCCACCTGTCCGTATTTCCGCCCGTCCCGAACGCACTACAAAACGGCCCACGCATGAAAAGGTCCCGGAGCGTTTTTGCTGCGTATTGGTCCGTTTTGTAGGGCGTTTTCCATTTGGATACTGCCAAGTAGCCTTGTAAAAAAAACGCGTGACGGTCGCGCGACAGACGCGCATATTACAATACGCATAGGTGTGAATGAGGCCTAAAAAGGTTTGTGCTAATTTGTGTTGGGAAAGTTAGTTCAGTTAGTTTATTTATGCTTTTGACTTAATATACAAATCCCTCCTGCAATGAAACTATTTATTTGCTGCCTTGCTGAATAAAAGTACAGGACATACCTGCTTGGACTGCTCCTGGGTATCCGTGCATGGTTTACCGCTGCCAATACCAGTTGGACACTGGACTGGTACACTGATTCTTTAAAACCACAGGCAAAATAAAATCTTGC